CCCATAGGCCCCGCGGCCCGGTCCCCCCTACCAGGCCTCCCCCGCTTGGTGGTCTGGTCAGCCAGGAGGCTATTGGACGTGGCTGCGAGCTGCTTGATATATGAATCACAGCCTGGTCAGGTATTCTTTGGACGTGTTTGTAGAGTTCTATCTTGAACGCTGCGGGAGGGCGGCCAGATATGTCCCTTATGCTAGCGGGAGTGTTGAAACGTCTTGGGTCTTTGACGTTGATAGAGTTCTCCCTTGGCGTACCTTTACACGTCTGCTTTTCAATGGGACTATTTTCCACATCCTGTCATGCCTGCTGGGTTTCATGTGATGTAATCTCCGTGTTTAGATTTGGAACAAGTCCCTCTAAAAGTGTAGGGGTGGTGCTAATGGAGGCGGCGGTTACCTGCTTGATGGGGTTCTGGGAGTTATTCTACTACTCAAGCCCGGCGACTTGCGACAGCTTGATCCAACAGGTTTGTTGCTTGGAGCGGGTCCACATATCCACCACAGCCCGATTGGTCCGGCACTTCTTGAAGAAAACTATCTAGTTTTCTCTTGAAAGGTGTCCAGGGTTGTTCCGGCAATATTTCTCATACTGGCTAGGAGAATGTTGAACAACCGTGGCCCTCCTGATGTTTATACAGTGTTCTCTGTGCCTATGGCACCCCCGCTCTTCACTGGTTCTAGTTTGCATTTTCTTCCATATCGTTTACTCCAGTATGTTGTTATTTTACCGTGTAGATTTGGGTCCCTACAGTATTTTCCACGTGTATATTATTTTATATCACTCTCGTCTCCTTTCTGGCGAGTACATTTGGAGAGCTTTGAGACAATTGCCAATAATGTAGGTGCTTCCTCCCGCCTGTGTATGCCGGATATGTTGTCTGTATTCTCTCTATTTGAGCAATCTCTCCTGCGCTGAACGGGGAAGAGAGTACTGAGCACCATTCAAAACTGGACTGCCCAAGTAAGTAAGTAAGTAATTATCAAAAGAAGGCGCCAAACCGCGGGACTGCCCAAGTGATTTGAAGAGTACAACCATTGTGATGGGATCCCTGGATTTGAAAGTCCTCGTAATTCATCCCATCATTTTTCTGGCTGACGCAATATTTGCTTGGCTATGCTTCTTGGTCCTTACCCATCAACGGCTGCGGTAAAATCAGGTCTAGCAAGTACCGTATGTCCCCGACTAATAGCATTGTTGTAATTCTTGCGTAATAATTCAACTGTTCTCGCGATTCTCACTATTTCCTTCGCCAACTCCGGCCTTGAAGTTGTGGACGGTAGTGGCATCCGCGAATTATTGCACAGCATTCCACATTAAAAGAGGCTGTCCTTGTGTTTGCCTGACAGTGGCTACAGGGAAGTAAGGTCTCGCTTTCATGTCCTTTCATAAAACCTACTCGTCTTGTGTTTCTCGCAGTACATTTTGGTAGTGGCAATGTGGTACTCTGAGAGAGAATATCAACATCAGACGCCCGAGACTGTTCAACACGCTTCCGCTACACATAGGGACATAACTGGCCGACCCCTCACAGTGTTCAAGAGAGAACTGGATAAGCACCTCCAAAGGATATCTGATCAACCAGGCTGTGACTCATACGTCATGCTGCGAGCAGCCGCGTCCAACAGCCTGGTTGATCAGTCCAGCAACCAGGAGGCCTGGTCGACGACCGGGCCGCGGGGACGCTAAGCCCCGGAAGCACCTAAAGGTGGGGGGGGGGGGGGAAGGTTACCTTGCCTTGCAGTTATCTTGCGATTCTTCCAGGGCTCAACGTTCTGGCGTCCCGGTTCAGGCTTCCTGGTCAACCAGGCTGTTCGACGCGGCTGCTCACAGCCTGTCGTATAAATCACAGACCGGTTGATCAGGTATCCTTTGGGAAGGGGGGTGTTTATCGAGTTTTCTAACACTGAGGGGTCGGCCAGTTATGCCCCTTATGTGTAGTGGAAGCGTGTTGAGCAGTTTCGGGCCTTTGATGTTGAGAGAGTTCACTCTCAGAGAACCTATTGCGCCTCTGCTTTTCAACGGGGGTATTCTGCACATCGTGCCATGCCTTCTGGTCAATATTCATTCGTGTGCAACAATATTCCACCCTAGAAGAGCACTAGACTTGAAAAAGTACAGTATCACCAATGGTATGGTATTCTATTTGAAGAGTTGTTAGCCAACCTGTCGCTTTTCTTGCAGCTGTAACCGCTACGTCTCGGTGTTCTTTAAAAGTAAAGTCTACAGACAAGATTACTCACAAATCATTTACACTAATTTATTTATTTATTTATTTCAAAAGAATGGCTACAGGCCAATTTCTCTAGGACATATGACTATCACTTTAATACCAAGACCGGACTAAAATAAGATCATGAGAAACTATTTTATTGTTAAAAAAAAGCAAGATAATTACAGATAATTGAAGGAACAAATGTGGGGTATGTAAAATTGTTTTAATATTTCAAGTCTTCAGTTAGCAGATACAGATATCAGTCAGTAAATAGGCTAGTTCCTACAATTACTAGTCACCCACAGTTACAGTCTCATATGAGACTAAAGGAATACAGGAGCAACCTATATTTGCCCAAGTCCAACCGAGTCCATCCATACCCGGACGGACTCTGTTGATCCACAGAGTGGATAATTATTACTTTATTAATTTTGTTGGCAAAAAAAATTGAAGATCATCTTCCTACTTTTCCAGAAATTCCTTTTTGTGCGCATTGTGTTTGCAATGCACACAACTGCGGTCACACTGCCTAATGATTTTGCCTTCGACGTGTCTTCCTCGGCATCTAGAGTAAGTCATAGTGGTCTGGCAAATGTGGGAAGGCAGGAGAGACTACTTGACAGTTCTCTGGGGGCAGTTCTGAACCCGTATTGCCCAGGGAGTTCAACACGCTTCCACTACACATAAGGGGCATAACTGGCCGACCCCTCACAGTGTTCAAGAGAGAACTGGATAAGCACCTCCAAAGGATACCTGATCAACCAGGTTGTGATTCGTACGTCAGGCTGCGAGCAGTTCGTCCAACAGCCTGGTTGACCAGTTCAGCAACCAGGAGGCCTGGTCGACGACCGGGCCGCGGGGACGCTAAGCCCCCGGAAGCACCTCAAGGTAACCTCAAGGTAGAGTTTGGAGCATACTTGGAGAGGATTTCGGGAGTTCTTCTCCCTGGGGTTAGCCTCGACTTCGAGACGCTGTGATTCCATGTGTTTTATGATCTTGCTTCTTGAGACGTTAAGAGCTGTCGGTCTGTCATTGTTTGCGTCTGCTTTACCTTTTCTGTTGTGAAGTGCGTCGACATCTTCAAGAGGAAACTAGATTTATTCCTCCAAGGAGTGCCGGACCAACCGGGCTGTGGTGGGTATGTGGGCCTGCGGGCCACTCCAAGCAACAGCCTGGTGGACCAACCGGGCTGCGGTGGGTATGTGGGCCTGCGGGCCGCTCCAAGCAACAGCCTGGTGGACCAACCGGGCTGCGGTGGGTATGTGGGCCTGCGGGCCGCTCCAAGCAACAGCCTGGTGGACCAACCGGGCTGCGGTGGGTATGTGGGCCTGCAGGCCGCTCCAAGCAACAGCCTGGTGGACCAAACTCTCACAAGTCAAGCCTGGCCTCGGGCCGGGCTTGGGGAGTAGAAGAACTCCCAGAACCCCATCAACCAGGTATCAACCAACCCACAAGCCCGTCAATTCACAAATAAAACAAGCCTGCCTGTCCATCCTCCCACATACTACAGCCTCCCCAAATGGCCCTCTCATTCACAAGCCCAACCACGTTAAACCCAGATAAGTCTGCCCGCTCGCCCATATAAATAAATGCCATCTCGCCCACTAGACAAAAAAAAATAAGCCTTGGCTACCAACCCACACGAATTCATACCCACACACAAGCCTGCCTCTTGACCACACACACAAGCCTGCCTCTTGACCACACACACAAGCCAGCCACTCCCCCCCCCCACATAGCACTCTCTTCCCGCCACACACAACCCCCTCACTCCCCATATGTATGCATGTTGTACCTAACAGCCAGAACGCACTACTTGGCCTAGTATGAAAGATTTGCCGAGGACCCGATTTGCCTAATAAGCTGAGTATTCCTGAAATTGTATACTGTATTTTTAAATTTTTTATGAAATAATCTTTCCATTATACATGATTTTTTTAGGTGAAAACTAACGTAGTTATATGACCAAAGCTAACCTAACCTAGCCTAACATAAGTCTGTCAGTAATTCATGTTCTTAATACAATAATAATATTAATTCAAATAAACCCATTTTATTTTTTTAAAAGCAAAAATCTGCCTGTTTGGCAAATCGGGTTTTGCATACTAGACCAAGTATTGCGTTCTGGCTATGGGGTACAACACAGATATTGCTTTGTACTTTGGCTTTTTATATCCCAACGAACCTGTGATTTTTTTTTTTTAGCGGCCAGTATTATCAACACAGGACCTGTCCCCTAGCACGTGATCTTCGCCTTAATTTGTTTTTTGTGGAGTAGTTTGACCACCTATTTATTACTCGATTTTCATCCATTTTCCTTTTATATTTCCCTTTCTAGTAGAAACGATGTCTATGTGCAAGAGTAGTCACACTAAACTAAGGAGGACGAGGTAACGTAACATAATGAACGTGCTAAACGGATACAGAAAAGCAGTCAACGCTGGGAAATGTGATCGCTGGAAGAGTTTGACGCTAGGAACTTAACCGTCTGGCGAAATTTCCGGATGGGAAAAAGATTGATCTGCGTTTCAAATTTCGATGACCTACATTACACACTTTAAAACTGGTCGACATTACAGAGAGGTGCCGTAGCCCACAACACTATCAAAGTTGCATGAAAGCAAAGCTATACAGAAACAATTTCTGTATTGAACTTAATTCACACAACTCTGCTAGCCCCGCGACCAACCAATAACTCGGCTAGTCTGCGGAGCAATCACACATTAATTTAATCTGTGCTACATTTCACTACAGGTGTAGGCCAAGGACAAAAAAAAAACTGCGACATACCTTAAGCTTCTTCAGGTAGCCAGCCTTGACGATGTCTTCGTTAACACCAACGTTATTAACGGAGCTTTTCCTATTAGGCAACATCTTGGCCAGCAGATGTTTCCAGCACAACGCCTCACCACACTTTAGAAACAGGCCTGATCTAGACTTTACGGCTTTCATATAATAACAAATTTTCCTTTAACCGATTATTTGCTTTTCTACAAATCTGTCACAACTTGATACACAGCACATTTTCACCAGTAGGATTAACCCGACTCAATGATCACACTTTTTTTTCAGAATAGGCTTCACCTGACGCGACACCAAAGTATTTTAAATGGAAAACTGGCAGACAATTTTAGCCATACTAAATTGTGTATATGTATACTGTATATACATGCATACATATATAAATTTATATACAAACACTGATATATATACACATATATATATAATATACTATATAAATATATATATATATTTACAATATATGTAATATATATAGTGTTTGCATGTTATATATATATATATGTGTATACACGATATATATATATATATATGTATATATGTCAGTATTCCTAGTCCCTTCGTGTTTGATGCGTCAAGCTTCAAAAGGTGAGAGCAACTTAAAATAATGACTTAGAAATTAATGATATGGTAACTCCACAGGTACAAAATCCAACCGAGATGCCTTTTCCTCAAGTGGTCCAAAGGTTCTTCACAAGTGGTAACGGGGCTTTTTGAGTTAACGAACGGCACAGCTCACAAGTTTCACATAACTGTGTTAATCAAATATTAAAGCAGACATTTGTTCTCACTTAACCAATCGTAACACTGCATATAGGCTTTGGGGGGGCTAAGCGATAACATTCTGGTATAGCAGCATTCCTCTTTTCTTCGGTTCAGACAAATATTTGATAACTTATTATTCAGTATTTCCTTACACGCACACACTGTATCAGCTCGTTGTACGAAGCTTAATTGTGAATAGATTTCAGATTTCGAAATTCTTAAGTGTAGGCACAACTTGGAGTCGAGAGTAGCTGCTGGTGGTTTAAGCTGCCACAATTACCTTAACTGCCAAACTAGCTGCACTGACAAGGCAAAGCTTCAGAATTTCAATCGTCTCCAAAGTCAACGGTTCATTGTGCCGTTTGTCATAAGCGTTTGTTTAGTTAATATGGTACTGGCAAGGCACTAATGCCATATCAAAACACGCGTTTTCTATTGGTCATTACACTTAAGTTGGAAACTCACAGGAATTTTCACGGATATCAGCTGCCATAGCAATCGTCAGTATCTGAAATGCAGAGAGAAAATATTTAAGAAAAAGATTTAATGATTAAATGCACTACATATATATAGAAGGGGGGTACCACCTCTGGTGCAACTGTAGGGACCCATAGCCTCGGAGAAGAGAATAAAAGGTATTCGGAGAAGATCTTGCAGATTCTCTGAACACGTGTTTAGCATTTTCTTCTCCTGCCACCCTACTTTTATCTTATTTTATACAATGTGATTTATTTGTTAATTTATTGTATTACGTTACAGTTTACAAAAAATACCAATACAGTTTACATATAAAGCAATAACTGTTCTAAAACCTCACTCAGCTCTGCAGAGGTGGAGTGCATGCCCAAGATACAGCAAGCATTAGCACTCTAGATCACCACCCTGAGGTGCTGGAACAGGAAACTTGACTGCTCATGGGGATCTTGTTTCCCTAACGAGTTGCTCACCTACCTCTTTTAGGAACTTAAGTGCACATTTATCCCCCAGGTGCCGCATCTCGGAGCCTTAAGGCCTGTCTGTAGATCCTAGACCCTAAGCGTCTGTAAACCTTACGTGTCTTAGACCCTAAGTATCTTAGGGCCTGATGATCCAGGCAGGTGCCTCCACTCTCGGGCGGCTTAATCGTCATCAATCATCAGGCAGGTGCCCAAGGCAGAATTAGGGCTAGCCAACAGGAAGTCCCCAGTATGGCGGGCCTGCACAGTAAGGAGGCATCCTTACCTCCTCAGGAGGCTGGAGAACATTGCCTTCCCTGAGGCAATGTTCTCCAGGTAATGCTGTCTGTGTCGCAGTGCGTATTCCTTTACCATCGAGTTTAACTGGGAGTGTTGCTAAGTACACACACACAGATCACACTAACGTGATGCATTTGTTCATTGCTAAGTACACTTGATCGTCTTCCAGGGAGAAGCTTAACACAAATGCTATAGCTTTTAGAAGTTTGTCATACTCTAGTTATTTTGGGCTATCGAAAGAGGGCGAACACCTTAAGAAATAGGTAAGCGTGGACAATGTCAGACACCTCGTCAGGAGGTACAAAGCATCGTGTGCATCCAGAACTCTTCTCGATTCCTCCAGCCTCAGGTCATTCAGTTTATCTTCTAAGATTGGCATCTTAGAAGATAAACTGCTCGAATACCATTGGCACCAATGGCATTCGAGCCACAGGTGCCCCCTAACAATCGGTGGAGACGAACACTCGAGCTCCTGGTATAACGGTTCTTCCTGCATATATAACTGTTATACTAGATGAGATGATTTCGCACTTTAAAGGATTTAGGGAGTCTTAGCTCCTCTCAGATCTCACCAGCTGTAGATTCTCTAGAAGGGACTCCTGTGTCCCTGCCACAGTGTGAACATCCAAGAAGCAGAGGTCGAGCTCTCTGGTAAACCAGCGTGTCACCTCTTTAGCAGCCATGCAGAAAAGAAAATAAGTGGATTCTCCTGCTGGACACCACCTGCAGAAACTGCTTCATGTCCCCCAAACAATATTATAGATTCCTTACTCTATCCTGCCGACATGAAGGGGGAGTAGATAATGAAGTAGCTAAAGTAGATAAGTAGCTTATTCGAATTGCTTTAAAAATCACATCTTATATCAATGAAATAGTTTGTCCTTATCCAAGGATAGAGGTCAAACGTTTGCGGGGCTAGCCTTACCCAGCGACTGGTGAACGGGTCACTTTATGACGAACGTGGGTGGGTTCGGGTCGCCCCACTGCCCATCCTTAACCGAGAGTCCGATTCCTTTGAGATGAAAAGTAGGTAGCCAAATCCTACGAATTTTATGATTTCAAGAAGCCGTGCAACTCAAATACTAGAGCAAGTCTATTTACCTGGGCTCTAGGAGACTGTTCAGACTGTCACAACTCCCCATAACCTGGGGGCCTCAGGGCTGAGTGGAGAGCGCTCGTTGTCCTATTGGCCCGGGTTCGATTCCCTGCCGAGGCAGAAACATATTGGGCAGCTTCTTTCACTCCTAATGCCCTGTTCACCTAGCTGTAAATAAGTACCTGGGAATTAGACAGCTGCTACAGGCTGCTTCCTGGGGGATGTGTGTGTTAAGAGAGAAACATACGTAGTAGATATAATAGGAGAAACGGACTGGTTAGAAAGGCGGGGTCCAAAAAGTAAGTAAGTAAGTATCAAAAGAAGGCACCAAACCGGGAAGGCTATGTAGCACCATCAAATACGCAAAATAATCAGAGGGTGCTAAATATCACCAAGGATGCCAATACGAGAACAAAAACGCATAAGGCGAACGATATCAAAAGTATCCGAGTCACCAAGAATTCTATCGAGGGACAGGTGACCGCGAGGGGCGGTCGGAAAGCAAGACACACGCTCGTCCTGGAAGTCAGGACATTCAAGAAGGACATGCACGACCGTAAGAGGGACAATGCAACTACGACAATAAGGAGCAGGGCGGCGCTCCATCAAGTGACCAGGGGTTAAGCGAGTATGGCCAATACGCAACCTCTCCAGAGCTGTTTCCCACCGCCGGTTACGGTAGAAGGAGGACGGCCACGAGGAAACAACATTTAAGAGTACGTAGCTTGTTACCAGTAACAGACAACCAAGAAGCCTGCCAACGGGTAAGGACTGAGGAATGGATAACCGGGTAAAAGTCGGAATACGGAACGAGAGATGGGACAAGAGCGGACAGCTTCCTTGGCGGCAGCATCCGCACGCTCATTTAAAGACACCAATATGGCTGGGAACCCAACAGAACTCAACCGACTTAAATTTACTGTGAACGAGAAACAGCCAATGCTGGATCTCGACAACTACTGGATGAACCGGATTAAAGGACCCGAGAGCCATGAGGGCACTACGAGAGTCAACAACAACTACAAAGGAAGACTGACAACGAGAAAGCAGGAGACGAAGAGCATAGAGAATAGCATAAAGTTCCGCTGTAAAGATGCTAGTCTCCGGAGGCAAGCAACACATATAAGTGCGATCAGGAAAAACAACAGAGTAGCCAACACCGTCCGCTGACTTGGACCCATCGGTGAAGACAGAAACGGAGCGGGAGTGAGAAGAAAAGTGCTCGAAGAAAAGGCGTTTTAGAACCGTAGGAGGGGTAAAAGCTTTAGTGACACGGGTCAAGGATGTACAAAACCGCGGAAGAGGGACCCTCCACGGGGGCAAAGAAGGAACAACACGAGGAGAAACATCAGAAATACGAATGGAAAGAGAATCCTGTAGGCGAGATAACTGGACAGAAAGAGGGAGGTGGTGAAGAGGAACAGGAACCGCAGGAGGGGTAAAAGTTAAAGCACAACAGAGGCGAGAGGAAGGATGTTGCAAGGACCGCGCAAGATAGCGAAGACAGTAGCGATCACGGCGGTCCTGGAGAGACAGGAAGCCAGTGTCAACATACAAGCTAAGGATGGGAGTCGAACGAAAGGCACCAGAACTGAGGCGCAACCCAGTATGGTGCAAAGCATCAAGACGGCGAAGAGTAGAAGGAGAAGCAGACGAGTAAGCAGGGCAACCATAATCGAGCTTAGACAGGACGAGAGAGGAATGTAAAGCAAGGAGAGTGCGCCTATCTGCCCCCCAAGAAGTATGGGACAAGACCGCCGAAGGAGGGTAAGGGCCTTGGAGCACTCAACAGGGAGGTAAGAGATATGGGGAGACCAAGACAAACGAGTGTCAAGGAATAACCCCAAAAGCTTTGCGGAATCTTTGCATTCAAGGGGATGACCATAAAGGGACAAAGAGGGACGAAGAACAACCCGTTTCCGCGTAAAAGTCATGGCACAAGTCTTAGAAGTAGAGAACTTGAAGCCATGATCTGTGGCCCAAGATGACACGGCCTCAATTGCAAGTTGAAGCCGGCGTTGAAGGAGAGGCGAATCATCACCCTGACAACAAAGGGTAAGATCATCGACATAGAGAGCGGAGAAGACACCAGAAGGAAGAGAGGAAAGAAGACCATTGAGGGCAACCAGAAAAAGAGTAGTGCTCAGAACACTACCCTGGGGCACACCTTCGTATTGCTGAAAATAGAGAGAGAGCGGTACCAAGGCGCACCCGAAAGGAACGACGAGAGACGAAGCTGCGGAGAAAGAGAGGGAGATGACCACGAAGGCCAAAAGAATGAAGTTGAGATAGGATATGATAACATTACTTTGTACATATACTCGCGTGTAACATTACACGCGAGCATGAGAGATATTAGCATAAGGTGGGAGCCGGCGAACCTGGCGTCTCGCCTCAGGAAAAGATAAACGCTCCCGGTGCTTCAAGTTGAGGACGGCTGCCTCAAGCTTGTAATGGACACACGCACGGGAGAAGGCAGGATGGGCCTCACCGCAGTTGAGGCAACGAGCCTGGGGAGAAGTGCACTCCGATTTAGAGTGACCTTCGCCACCACACAAAGGACAGAGAGAGACAGTCCTGGAACAGCGGAGGGCACCATGCCCAAACCTCCAGCACTTGTTGCAGAGCCGAGGAGAAGGAATGTACTCCTGGACATAGCACCTGGCACCAGCAAGAATGACAGAGGGTGGAAGGGTCCTACCATCAAAGGTAATCTTCACAACCCGGAGGGGTTGACGGCGACTACCACGAGGGGGACGAGTAAACGTGTCAACCTGGAGAATAGAATGGCCCTGGGCAGCAAGGATGTGTCGAATATCGTCGTGGCAGTCGCGCAGGTCCCGAACACCGGTCGCAACATGGGGCGGGAGCAAAATAGTGCCAACACTGGCATTCAACTGAGCGTTCTTCGAGACCCGAACAGGGGTCTCGCCAAGGCAGGATAAGGCAGCCAAGCGGGAAGCAGCATCCTGAGAAGGAGCAGCAACGACATGTGTACCGAGACGAGTGGGGTTGAAAGTAATGGAGGCATCCACGGTATCAACGAGATGTCGATGGAGGGAGAAATCGTCAGGAGGCGCAGAATCAAGAGGGAGGAGATCAAAATATTTGGCCCACGAAGCGGGACCAAACAAGGCTTGATAGGTAGCAGAACTGGAAGGAATCGAGCGAGGGCGGCCGTGACGAGGACGGCGGTGAGAACCCCCAGAGAGAGAGGGGGTAAAAGGCGCAGTAGTTACAACTAGAGAAGGAGCCGCGCCAGGGGACGAGGTAGTCACCACTGGGGGCTTGGGGCTCGACCCAACCACAGAGGAGGGAGGGGAGCCAGGGGAAGGAGTCAGAGAGGCCAAAGGAGGAGCAAGGTCGGGGCCCAATGCAGCGGAGGCTACAGAGCCCGGTCTTCCAACACGGACCGACTCGGGGGCTTGGTCGCCCACCCCACGAGCCTCAGAAGGTAAACCAGAAGCAGCCGAAACAGGGGTTATCATCATTACGAAAAGAAGAATTTATTCACGAATGTGTCCCCACACCCACCATGGAACCACAATTAGAGGCAGGACACCCAACAAGAAGCTATCGCCGATCTTGCCGGGGCCTCCTAGGGGTGCGTCGTGAGTATACGCCCCACAAACGCCACCTGAAGAAACCGACAGTCCGTCGAGATCGGGTTCAGTGACGAAAGGGGGATTGACAATAAAAGGTTCCCCTCGCTCTCGACGTCGGGTACTACAGTTCTACGGGTGCAAGAGTATGCCTCCTCAAGCACCCGGGCGTCAAAATAGAAGAAGTCCAAGGGAAGAACCAGAACGAGCAAAAGGTCGGCAGGAAACGGCAAGCAGATAGGAGAAGAGGGGGGAGAAAAACGAAACAGAAGGAAAAGGAAAAGATGCCCAGCAGAATTGGAGAGGACGGCAGCAGGAGCACAAGGCTAGAAAAGGACAGAGGACTGTCCCAAGGAGCATCACACTCCGGCAGCCGCCCACTAAGCCCCCCACACGGCGACAACGAGCTGAGCGGGGAGGGGGCGGGGTCCAAAAAGCTAATCGCTCGAACCTGTAGACACCAATAGTAAATACAGACATGTTATGATAGTGGCAATTACGGTAATGGCAGTGCTATGGTGGTTATCTTGAGATGATTTCGGGGCTTAGCGTTTCCGTGGCCCGGTCCTCTACCGAGTCTCTTTTTTTGTTACACACCCCAGAAAGCAGCCCGTAGCAGATATCTAACTCCCAGGTACCTATTTACTGCTAGGTAACAGGGGCATCAGGGTGAAAAACATTTTGCCCATTTGTCTCCGCCTCCACCGGGATCGAACCTGGAACCTCAGGACTACGAATCCGAAGCGTTGTCCACCCAGCTGTCAGGCGTTATGGTGGTGGTGGCGATAGTGTTATGGTAGCGGTGGTGACTTATGGTGGTGGTGGCGACAGTGTTATGGTAGCGACAGTGTTATGGCGGCGACAGTGTTATGGCGGCGACAGTGTTATGGCGGCGACAGTGTTATGGCGGCGACAGTGTTATGGCGGCGACAGTGTTATGGCGGCGACAGTGTTATGGCGGCGACAGTGTTATGGCGGCGACAGTGTTATGGCGGCGACAGTGTTATGGTGGTGACAGTGTTATGGTGGCGACAGTGTTATGGTGGCGACAGTGTTATGGTGGCGACAGTGTTATGGTGGCGACAGTGTTATGGTGGCGACAGTGTTATGGTGGCGACAGTGTTATGGTGGCGACAGTGTTATGGTGGCGACAGTGTTATGGTGGTGACAGTGTTATGGTGGCGACAGTGTTATGGTGGCGACAGTGTTATGGCGGCGACAGTGTTATGGCGGCGACAGTGTTATGGCGGCGACAGTGTTATGGTGGTGACAGTGTTATGGTGGCGACAGTGTTATGGTGGTGGTGGTGACTTATGGTGGCGACAGTGTTATGGTGGTGACAGTGTTATGGTGGTGACTGTTATGGTGGTGACAGTGTTATGGTGGTGACAGTGTTATGGTGGCGACAGTGTTATGGTGGTGGTGGTGACTTATGGTGGTGACAGTGTTATGGTGGTGGTGGTGACAGTGTTATGGTAGCGACAGTGTTATGGTGGTGGTGGTGAGTGTTATGGTGGCGACAGTGTTATGGTGGTGGTGGCGAGTGTTATGGTAGCGACAGTGTTATGGTGGTGACAGTGTTGTGGTGGTGACTTATGGTGGCGACAGTGTTATGGTGGTGGTGACTTATGGTGGCGACAGTGTTATGGTGGTGGTGGTGACTTATGGTGGCGACAGTGTTATGGTGGTGGTGGTGACTTATGGTGGCGACAGTGTTATGGTGGTGGTGGTGACTTATGGTGGCGACAGTGTTATGGTGGTGGTGGTGACTTATGGTGGCGACAGTGTTATGGTGGTGGTGGTGACTTATGGTGGCGACAGTGTTATGGTGGTGGTGGTGACTTATGGTGGCGACAGTGTTATGGTGGTGGTGGTGACTTATGGTGGCGACAGTGTTATGGTGGTGGTGGTGACTTATGGTGGCGACAGTGTTATGGTGGTGGTGGTGACTTATGGTGGCGACAGTGTTATGGTGGTGGTGGTGACTTATGGTGGCGACAGTGTTATGGTGGTGGTGGTGACTTATGGTGGCGACAGTGTTATGGTGGTGGTGGTGACGACTTATGGTGGCGACAGTGTTATGGTGGTGGTGGTGACTTATGGTGGCGACAGTGTTATGGTGGTGGTGGTGACAGTGTTATGGTGGTGACAGTGTTATGGTGGCGACAGTTATGGTGGCGACAGTGTTATGGTGGCGACAGTGTTATGGTGGCGACAGTGTTATGGTGGCGACAGTGTTATGGTGGCGACAGTGTTATGGTGGCGACAGTGTTATGGTGGCGACAGTGTTATGGTGGCGACAGTGTTATGGTGGTGGTTATCTTCTTGAGGTTATCTCGAGATGATTTCGGGGCTTTTTAGTGTCCCCGCGGCCAGGTCCTCGACCAGGCCTCCACCCCCAGGAAGCAGCCCGTGACAGCTGACTAACTCCCAGGTACCTATTTACTGCTAGGTAACAGGGGCATTCAGGGTGAAAGAAACTTTGCCCATTTGTTTCTGCCTCGTGCGGGAATCGAACCCGCGCCACAGAATTACGAGTCCTGCGCGCTATCCACCAGGCTACGAGGCCCCTACGTAGCGGTGGTGGCGACAGTGTTGTGGTGGCGACAGTGTTGTGGTGGCGACAGTGTTGTGGTGGCGACAGTGTTGTGGTGGTGACAGTGTTGTGGTGGTGACAGTGTTATGGTGGTGGTGGTGGCGACAGTGTTATGGTGGTGACAGTGTTATGGTGGTGACAGTGTTATGGTGGTGGTGTTATGGTGGTGACAGTGTTATGGTGGTGACAGTGTTATGGTGGTGGTGGCGACAGTGTTATGGTGGCGACAGTTATGGTGGTGGTGACAGTGTTATGGTGGCGACAGTGTTATGATGGTGGCGGCGGCAGTGTTATGGTGGTGGAAGGAGCAGTGTTATGGTGGCAGCGGCAGCAGTGTTATGGTGGCAGCAGTGTTGTGGTGGTGGCGTGGAGGGGCGGGCGGACCAACACGCATTGCGCAACCCGTGAGGCGCCTCCCGCCCTCCACCCGTCACAACACCATCTCCCCGCTCACCCAAACACACACACACACACACACACACGCCCTCCTCTCTTATCACCCTTCCACGTACACACAACCCGTCGTCGTACACACACACACACACGGCCCAAGAGGCCAGAATCCTGGTCCAAAACGCCCTCCCAAGACCAGGTTTATTTTGGCAACAGAGGCAGAGTGAAGCCCAGAGAACTGACCGACATCACTGCGTATGAATGGACCCTCCCATGGCATAATACACCCCCATAAACTTAACACCTGCTTTAATACAACATGCAAGGCGCCACCCATTACCACGATCCCGTGTTTGCGAGTGTGTAAAAGGGGGGAAGAGGATGGTGGTTGGTTGTGGTGATGGTGGTGGCGAGACTACTACTACGTCGCAATGAATCCCGTTAGACGACCCCCTCCCAGCCGGGGAGGGTGTGTGTGTGTGTGTGTGTGTATGTGCGTGTGTGTGTGTGGTAGGGGGAGGAGGAGGAGGCCCGGCCCTACACACACACACACACACGCACATACACACACGCACCGCCACAACTATTTCACTCATTTACCTCCACTAGCGCCGCCATCACCGTTGTTTTCCTGCGGGAATCACTGCACTACACCTTCGTACACTCCACGGGACACGAGACAACGGGCCACGGTCGTTAAATCCGGCCATTTCAGTGAAAATTTGGGGAACTGCGCCATGTAGTTCACTAGCCAGCCTCCATCTTAGTAGACAAGGTCACGTGGGGACGGTTGTAAACAAGTAGGACGCACGCGTCACGTGACGTCACTTTCACGCGCCACATTTAAACTGCGACTTCCCTTAAACTACTCGCTATGTACGCCTTAATTGTTCAATTGTCTCATTTAACGTGGTGGAGTGGTACAATTATATATACGTAGGTTATAGATATGTAATTACTATTAAGCTAAAAATATGTCTTAACAAAAAGTTCAGAAGGGATACTTATATATATATATATATATATATATATATATATATATATATATATATATATATATATATATATATATATATATATATATATATATATATATATATATATATATATATATACTGTGTGTATATTTAATTAACAAAAGTAATGGATACTTGTTGGAACCATTAATAGATTCTTACCGAAAAATTCATTCTGCATTATATTCAGCATTCATATACATCCATTATCTTCAATATTTTTCTTATTGTATCTTATTCTCAAATACATAACTGAAATTATTAAGTAACTTTACATGGAAATTCATGACGTAATTATGCCAACGGATAACACAGTCCCCGACCATACCACTGAACGTTCTACTAGAAGCGATTGCTTGATCACAATTCCTCTTACATCTAGATTTGTTATTTCACTTTATCTTCAAAAATTGTGGCTGTACAGTTTATGTTAGCTTTAAACAAAATAAATCCATATAGTTCAATGAGTTGCGTACGTATGGCGTGGAATTTGCTAGACGTATGAGGCACAGTTGAGCATGTAGGCGGGTTTGGTAGACTCGTCTAATTGAAAATCATTACAGCCGAAGTGCAAGGAATTAGGAGTCGAGGCCGCAATGCTGTCGGGGGGATCATGGTGAGATATGAATTGTTCACGTAGCCTTTATTCCTCCATAATTGAGTAGCGGTCAAGTCAAGACACACAGTCTTATTGAAAAGTCTTATGTGTTTAAGATTCGTATCGGTATAGAAGCTGGTATTCTCTGATGATTATTTTATTCTCAAACACGAATTTTGTGCTTGTGGGGGGAGGGGGAGTGGACACAGAGCAGGTGGATCGCTCTAACGACTCTATATACTGCCGAGAAGTGTAACAATTTTAAAATAAGTATTTTATTACAAAAAGACAAATTATAAACAAAACTTGCTAAGTGCTTATAAGTTTACTAGATAGCATCCGGGTATGCCCGGGTCTCTCTTCCCCCTCCACTCCTTCTCTCCCCATATTTTCCCTTATATATGGGAATCTCCCCTCTACACCTTTCTTCTCCGTTGTTGTGGTTTTTAGATTCAGCTACTCGGAACAAAATTTCCATGTAGCACGGGCTAGGGTGAGCCCGTAATTTCTTCCTCTTCTCGCCCTCTCTTCTCATCTCCCCCTTCCTTAACATCTTTCCTCTTCTTCTCCCCTCTCCACCTTTCTCCTTCGTCTCTCATTCCATTTTTTCCAACATCCTCCCCTCTCCTTTTTTATCTCTCTCCCTCCTCCCCATTCTCCCTTATCTCTTCCTCCTTCCTCCCTCTCCTGTCTCTCTTCCCTACTCTTTTCTCCTTTCCCTTCTCTCTCTCTCTCTCTCTGAAAATGATATTTACAAGTGCTGAACTGCTAAATAACTCTACGAAAAGCAACCGATATTTCGAAATCGGAAGGAAGTCGTTATAGCTGCCGATATTTCTTAAAGTGTGGCACTTAGACTAACCCTGACTGGCCTGTGACACTCCCATACCCCACCTTCACCATGTGTCATCTTGGACAGCTGTGTGAGACTATAGCCTCAACCGTCTGACCTCCGACAGACATTTTTTTTTATAAATAATGATTGCAAGTTAAGGACAATAGGCTAGAAACGGATTACACACCTTTACTTCTCGGCTCTTCAAAGAGTGCAATTTTGAAGGCTTTCTTTTGAATTTACATTTAAATCTTTAGTAGAAAAAACGTATGTGGTGAATAGGTATATAAAAAGTTATTTATATATAACTATTTTAAACTTATATTCGCAAAGGCGCCAATTACGAACAGCGTATCAATCAATTGTTAACGCTAACAGTATCATTGGGTCATAGATGGTGTTCTTTCAATGACTGTCAATGTATACAAGCGCAATGATTTTTGTCCACAGTAAATCTTGTAAATAATATTAATAGTGATGTTGACGGAAAATATTTAAATTGTGGTCATATATAAAAATTGTAGTAAGATACGGTGATTATATTAGTTAATATATATTAAACATGATACTGGTGACGAAGGTATTAATTTAGAGAATAACAAGTGAATTGTAGTATAAAGGTCTACGGTTTTGTGATGTTGGCACCAATGAGAAGTGAACTTTTCCTGCATTTATTGGATAAATATAGAAAGTAAGAGTAGTGAGAGAGTAGAGATAGGAGAGGAAAGTAGTGAATATATGTACAAGAATATGATTTGGGAATGAATGATATGGTAGACTAGTTAAGATTTGAGTGTATTCCAACGAATTTTAAAGGATTTGAATTTGAATTTTATTATGAAAATGACAATTTGTGAGCACTATCTTAGTGCTTATGAAGCGGAGGATTACTGCTGCGAATGCTTGTTCATTCGTGATGCTATATATTATTGTACTCTAGTATAATGTATGGACAAGTGACAGATTTATCATCATTCAATATATGAAACTTTTTATATTTTATTACATGTTCTCTCCAGGATGTTTCCCTCCACGTACCTTAAAAAGTAAGAAACTTGGTAATGATAAATGTATGAATAATTACCTAAACTGTATAATTTGATATTAGGGAGGCACTTCCATAGTTTAAACACCTTCATTTGCATGAGGAACTTGCACAGACTATGTCGGAGATGCAGAATATGAGACAATTATTCATTTCATGAGTTTGCATTAAGATCCTTTACCCCTTGATATGTTAGCGAATTATTAACATTTCATACGTCACTATGTAATTTTTTGAAAAAAATCAAGAATACAGAAACAATTCAATCACAAATGTTCAAGAAATGTTTAAATTTTTGATTAAAAACTATATGCTACCAGAAATCTTAGCCAATATCCCGATTTGTTTACTGTAGGTATTGCGTGCCAGTGACTAAGCCTTTCTTTCCAACGCCGCCCACAGCATGGGTGCGGGGTGCATGAATACAAGGGAACATTTTACGGAACTAGCTCGCTATAAATGTAAATTGGTTAGCTTAGAGACTGTTGTGGTCTAGTTCTTGAACCCACTGCCTCTGTAGACTTTTCCACTACCACCCACAGGATGGGTATGAAGTCCACCACCACCCGAAGGATGGGTATGAAGTCCACCAGCACTCACAGGATGGGTATGGGGTCTACTATCGCCCACAGGATGATTATAGGGTCCACTACTTCCCACAGGATGGGAATAGGGTCCTCTACCCTTCGACAGGATGGGTATAGGGTCCACTACTCCCCGCCGGATGGTTATAGGGTTCACTACCACACACAGGGTAGGAATAGGGTTCTCTATCCCCACACAGGATGGGTATAGGGTCCTCTTACCTCTCCCCCCCCCCATAGGATTTGTATAGGGCCCACTACCACAAACAGGGTGTCAGTGATAAGGTAAGATTTAATGTATAAGAGTGACCCCTGACTCCATAGTGATGATATTTAACAACAATGTCATTATGGTTGAAAGTATCAAAGACATTTCGAAGGTTAACAAATCCTATACGGTACCCATTTTTGTCGAGCTGGGTGTAGAGAGTCGAGCATATTTATTATTTTGTGGTTGTACTTTTTGTGGTCTAGGATTCGAGGCTCCTATAATCCCCAATCCTGACTCTAAGTACTTCCTAAAAAGCTGTATATAGAGCTCAAGATCACCACATGATGAACAAATATCTCTTTGATATTCCTAGAGACTCAATCAAAGGAGAAATGCTCTGCAAATCAAGGGGTTCCCAAAATGTGGAATGACCTTCCAAATGTAGTTAAAAGCTACGTCTCCTAATCAGTTTAAAAGAGAGATTAAGAAATATTTACTTAATATCTTGTAATTAACATAATTTTATTCAATATATAATAATTTATCTCACATTTTCCCCTAGTTTTAAGTTACAAATACAAATATTTATTCAGGTAAAGTACATACATACGAGGTGAGATACAAAAATTGATAGATTTATAGATAGAGCTAGTACATACAATGCCTAAAGCCACTAGTTATTATTATGTTAATCTTATCTTAATTGTTGTACTAATAAATATTATGATATGTCTAATATTAGACACATTACGTGTCATCTAATTTTTGCATTTGTTTTATAAAGTGTTTACTCGTGTCCTTTTTTATCCTTGTTTATTTTAAAGCCTGGGTTCGAATCCTGCTGGGGGAGGATTAGGCCCTGAAGGCCACACAACCAAAGCACAATTCCATAGTCGACTGATGGATGCCTACTATTACTACTCTATGTTATGTTAGGTTCCAGATGCTTCTCTAAATTATTCCTAAGTATTTCCGTTCTGTTATTAATGTAATTAAACTATTGTACTGATGTGAATTTGAATTTGAGGTGCTACACAGTAATGAATCAGAATCAGAATCAGAATCTTTATTCAGGTAAAGCTACTATGCTAGCTTTATGAAGCATGAAGTTATGAAGCTACTATTTCTGGCCATGCAAAGCATTATGGGGCGCTAAAGTTTATTGAAGATTAAATTCTGCAGAGCAAAAATTTATGCGGCCCCAAACTGAATAACCTTCTTTTATGCAAAGCATTGCGAAACCTATACTATTTGCTGATATAACAGTACCCTCATCTCTAGCCCAAACTCACCCAGCAACTTTAACCATTCAACGTGAAAACTTCTGTACAGTACTTAATTACGTATCAGAGAGCACGGGGCTAGTCCCGCCAAATTGCTTGGTTGTACCAGTACTCACCTAATGGACGCTCAGGCGATAAGTGCGCCAGACATCCTTTCAGTTTGATTTGTTTAAAGAAGAATATGTAGCATCGTGACCCAATGGTCCCAAAACGTGACCCGCGTTCGGGGTACCCCTGCGGAGTTGGAGCCAGACATGGAGGCCCAGCGGGCCCTTCAGGTTAGGGGCGGCAGACGGTGGCCAAGCGACCCAAACAACACGCATCAGCTGACCATCTGCTGCCACTGCCAACACCTTATTTATTTATTTATTTATTTATATATATACAAGAAGGTACATTGGGATTGTGAGGATACATAGCATAGTAATTACATTCTTGTAAAGCCACTGGTACGCGCAGCGTTTCGGGCAGGGCGTTTCTGCTCCTGTGTGTCATGGTAAGCGTAGTACAGTATTTCAATTTGCTCCATCTACTGTTGCTGTTAATATACTATCGTTGTATAATGCTGATCATTAATTTAAATTTTACTGTTCTGTGAGTGAGGGTTCCGGGAGCTGGAGACCTACCCATACTCACAGTGGTCCCTGGCCAGTCACTATAGTTAGGCACCACTTACCTTCCTTACTTCTGTATGGCAAGTCACAAAGCATTATATTATTGCTGTATACGTCTTTCCAAATCCGAAATTAAATTGTGTAACTTAATAAAATGCATAGTAACAATATAGACTACAGTACAGTACTTCAGTCATTAGTTTTATTTCTTTATGATTTATTTTTGACCTTTTACCTTAACATTCACTGCCAATAGTGCTATATGCTTTTCTTTTGATAGTTACTTACTGCAAATTGTTTGTTAGCTTATAAGCTTTGCTGTAAATGCAATGTGTGTTAGTGTTGTAAGAATTGAGCTGAATTTACCTGAAGGTCACCATCTCTCCCTAGTGGCCTCGATTGGGATAGGAAGCCAGATGCTTGTTAAACGTACCCCCCCCTCCCCCATTGTTCTTGAGGATTTTTTCCAAGCTTTGATTTTGAACTGAAGTAATGTCTTAGTGTTGACAGCTTCGGTGGGTAGGTGAATCTATGGGTTTATAATCTTGTGGGTGAAAAAGCATCTCCTGTTTTCTGTCTTAAATTGCAGCTTGTTGGCCTTGAAGCTGTTAACCCTTGTATGCATTATATTTAACCTTTTAATTAATGAAGTGGTAGCTTGAATTAATATCCTTAAACATGTTTAATATTTTAAATGCCTTATTGAGATCAGCCCTGTCATGTCTGGTTTGCAGTGTCATTGGTCCTGTGGCCCTCAACTGTTTCTGGTAAGAGACGACCTAATTTGGAATTATTTTTGTCACTGTGTTTATGCTTTCTCCAAAGCAGATACAGTATATCCATTGATGGTGGGGTCTCCATGCTTAGATGCTTGAATGCAAGTCATGCCATTAAGATGTACAGTACCACAGCAATTGTCAGCAAATCTCAAATAAATTAATCAAAGCATACAATAATGTGCGAACCAACGGCTAACATATTTTTCACTTTCACTGTTTAACCTGCAATAACTATGGAAAGGGCCTAAATGACCCAAGCACTGGCAAGAAGGATGTAGATGAGAGTAATAAGAAGAAAGGGAAAAATACTGGTGACAAAAGGGTTACAAGAGTATCAGAAGGTAATTAAATAACTATAAAAGGGTTAGAAGGTAATGATGAAACAGTTTATGGACTTACAACAATCAGTTCATAGCAATCATTTAGGCATGATTCCAGTGGTCAATTAAGTGAACCTGGAGAGAATCAGTCACTCGGGAAAAACACTCAGAATGCAAGCAGAATTGAGGATAGTGACTTAGAAGCTCGGGATAGAGAATCGGAAGCTTTGGATAGAAAAAACAAAAAAACTCATGATAAGGAACCTCTGCCTCTCTCCTCCTTCAAGTTTCCTCTGCCTCGCTTCCTACCTCTGTCACATTCTCTCCCTCTCTCACATTTTCTCTCCCTCTCTTCTTCCCACCCATTCACTGTCTCTCCTCCCATTTCTCACATTCTCTCTGGCTCTCTCCTTCCCACTCAGTTCACTTTGTCTCTCCTCCATTTCTCTTTCCCCCTCCCTCCTTCCTTCCCATTCTCTCTCCCAGTAGGCAGAAGATGCTTGAGTAGCATTCTAACAACATTATCAACATTCTATCAACATTATCAACATTCTTTCAACATTGAATGAGTGCTATCATTGAATGCATGCTATCAACATTGAATCACCATTATCGACATTAAATCAGCGTTATTAAAGTTGAATCAACAGTATCAAAGTTGAATCAACGTTATCAACGTTGAATCAACATTATTGACATTGATTTAACATTGATAGTAGCTGTAAAACCTGTTTTAACACTATGGATAATCAAAACCCACATATCATACTACGTAGGAGTCATTGGGACTTGGAATGGGAGCTGATTCTTCTTAAAGAAGGGCATTAGTTTTACATGCCCACACAATGACACTTGCCATATAGTCACAAGTCACCATGCAAAGTTCCATGAGGCTAGCACTACATGTCTGGTCTCCAACCTTGGGCAGACACATTCTATTTTATACAATAGATATACAGTACAGCATGTCATATTTATGCCAACTGCTTACTATTCAAATTTGTTTCTATTTCAGAATTTCATCACTACTGACAAAACTCTATGGATGCGATACCTTGAGGGGAAAATGGTGTGTGTAGCTTGATCGTTGTCCTTCAGGAATAGCTCAGACATAATTAACCATGAATGTTAATCTATATTGGGAGCATAATGTAAAATGTGAATTTTGTGAAGCAACATTTGATAATCAAGATACTTTAAAACAACATTTGAGGCTTCATTCCCGGAGAAAACCTTATAAGTGTGATGAATGTGGAGCAAAATTTTCATACAATAGTACGTTAGAGTGGCACAAAAAGAGTCACACTGGGGAGATGCCATTCAAGTGTGATGAATGTGGTGCTCAATTTCTTCAGAACAGCATGTTAGTTTGGCATAAGAGGAAACACGGAATGGGGGAGAGTTCACAGAATTCTGCACTTGTTGTAAATATGACAAATATTTACCACCAGCAGGGTGTGCACAACTTTTCCAATATATTTAACTTGCCAAACTTGGTGAATACATCATGCACTTTTCCCACTAATGTTGTGGCCTCTTGCTCAACAGGACCTACAACCAGTATTACAACACCATCAGATCTCCACATGGTTAATTCTCTTTCTTCCCAACCTGTTATTGCTACAGGCTCTTCACAACCCGAAATGTTAACAGATATGTCGGGTAAAAGGAAACCCGAAGGAGAAGGAGGAACATACAGGTGTGATATATGTGGTACTCTGTTAATGCTCAGTTCTGATCTAAAAGCTCATATGGATACCAAACATAACATGGGTGAAAACAATCCTTTTTACATTCTTGCTAGGCAGCAACAAGAAAATGGTGAGTTTGTACCAAGAAAAAAAATCATAGTTGAAAAACCCTACAAATGTGATCTCTGCGGTGCAGGTTTTAACACTGAAGGTCATCTGAAAAGTCATCGGCAAAAGCATACAGTAGAGAGGCCATACAAATGTGAAAAATGTGGCCTAACATTTTCTGATCACACTATTTTAGAGTCACATGAACGAAGGCATCAAGCTGATAGACCATACAAATGTGATCGCTGTGGTGCAGCTTTTTTCAGAGAGACTCATTTAAAAAGACATACCAAGAGGCACACAGGAGAGCTTGTGTGATAGATACAGTTTGTATTTACTACTGTTCTTTGGAAATAACAATTGTTTTAAAATGGCTTGTTTAACATTTTAAATATTTATGTACTGTACAGTAGAAGTTCTTTGCTAATAATATGTCATTATATAAAATAGGGAGCCCAGAGCAGTCATTTTTTAGGCACTCAGCAGCTCGTGAAACATTTTTGTACAATCCTAAGTTTATAGTGAAAAATTCTGTGTGAACGCTTGGGTCTTACTTCATGTAGCATATCTGCTTATTAAGAATACTGCACAGGATACTAAAATATATTATCTCTGGTTGTAAACTAGTATCTAAGCTTTTATATTGATAGCATCCATATCACATGCATTGTCATAAGTTCTATCTAAGGTATGGCATTGTTAGGTAATGTATATTTTAAATTTGCAGTTAGATGAATACTGTATAATTTCATGCAATATTTTTATATATAATTTGTTAAATTTAGCATTCTTTTTGTGAGAAGATAAACATTTGTCCCAATTTAATCAAGGATCTAAACACGTACACAATAATGTTAGTTTTAAAGAGAGTTCAGTTAGAGTAGCTGTAACTATCTGGCATAATCTGCTTTGGTTGATTTAAGACTGAATGGGAATGGATTCCATAACTCTTTTGCTGCACACTTTAATTCTGACCAAAAAAAATATATATACAATATTTTATTTTTGCTATTATGATTTTACATTTCTAGTAAGAAAATTACCTGATCTTTCCAGCAGAGTTATTTGAAAAACAAAAGCAATAATTCACGGTAAAAAAAATGAAAATGTGTTTGGGTGTTTGCAAAGATACATATCATTATCCCTGTCAACATTGTAAGAATGCTATAATTACAATTTTTTTTTTTTTTTGAGTTGGGGATGGGGAAAGTAAGGGTTTAGTTTCCTTCATTTATACAGTATTTAATATCCAAGAAAGTAATGCTTGTGTACATCCTACATATTGAGGTCCCTCGATGGTCAAACTACTGACCCTCCTCAAGATGCAACCCACAACAGTTGCCTAACTCCTAGGTACCTATTTACTACTAGGTAAACAGAGGTATTAGGTGAAATGAAGCATGCCCAACTATTTCTGCCTCGCCCAGGAATCGAACTTGGGATCCCTGATTGTGGGTCGAGAACAAAGCCAACTGCACGATGAGACTGTTTTTGAGTCTCCACTGTATAATATATGATCCAGGCTGCTAAATATAAGATATAGAAATTTTATTTAGGGAAAAGTACATACATACAAAATGACTTACAAGCAGAATGTTGGATTTCTGGATAAAGCAAATACTGCATTGTACATACTATGCCTAAAGCCACTAGTACTCACAGGGTTTTGAGTAAACAGGCAATTACAGTATTCGGGAAAATAAAGCTAAAAATGTTCCTAATGTACTGAATATCATTGTAAATACAAGGAATGTATGCATTTTATTCATAAAACATCCTTTTTTATGAAAATTCTTAATGATTTATGTTGTTTCTCACTTATGTTTACATTTCTAATTGTAAAACAATGTTTTTCATATTAATCATCATACCTCTCATAATGGCAAGTAAGACTTGAATAGGAAATACCTATTCCTGAGAGATATAGGGCTACCACATTAATAAGCTTCTGTTCTTTATGCCAGATGTTTGGAAAAACTGTTTCAAGGAGTTGAAATTCCATATTCTATGAAAAACTCGCCTTTTGTTTTTTGTTGAAAAACAATAATGTCCTTTTCGTCATTTATCTGTAGCCATGTTTCACAGTGAAAAGTTTAAGACCCTATACAAAAATAAACAGTACAGTATGGCATTTGATTAATATCTAATTGGAAAATAATACACTTTCCATGACCTAGTCATTTACTAACTTTAAAATTTATATATTGTACTATATTGTACAGTGCTAGTGTATTACATTATAATGTTTGTAGGTAAGTCCCCCAATACAGTTTGGACAACTTTTTGTAAAATATTTGTGTAAAATCAGGTATTGCAAGCAGACCTATTTTAATTATGCCATAGTACTGTATAGCTACACTTTTTGACTAATATGTGCCCGAGACTTAAAACTTCATATTAGTAAACCGTAGAGGTATTCATAGTTAAAAGAGGGTATGCAAATTGTGTATGATGTCAAATTTGCAGTATTACTGGACAAGAGGGTAGCAGGTTCCAGACAATGCTGTTACTGTATATAGAGTATGAGTGAGTTACTGTATGTCCTCTGCTCACAATCAAATAACTATCAAATATCCCAGATTAAATTCCCAAGTGGGACAGAGATGGTTGGACATGTTACCTTTCACCTGATGTTTATGTTCACCTAGCAGTAAAGAGGTACCCAGGAATTAGGCAGCTGTTGTGGGTTGCATGCTGGGGAAGGTCAGTACTGTATTTTGCAGAGGGCCTTGATAAGCCTAACTGGCTTCCAGTTAGGCGAGAAACCATAAGGTGTACCATATGTCAACATATACTGTGTGTTCACTGTACTATATTGAAAGTATTATATTGTATAATATCTAATTCCAAAAGTAAGAACTTGGATGACAATATGAATACAGGTACTGTACTGTTCAATAAATCTTTAGGCTACCGTTCCATCACATATTGCAGCCAGAGAAACTGAAAGAGTTCTTTCTGTTCAGGGATATTTACCCTTCCCATACTAGTGCAATAAATATGGAAAATTTGGTCATAGTGTTTTAATTTGGAGGAACAAATATCTTTCCATATATCTGGCTCATCCAGCCATATTAATAATTTAAGTCCACTTGTGTAACCCAGCTAGCTTGCTGCATTAATTGCTGTACTAGTTACCTTTCTTTTGCCAGGTTCTTTGATCATTATAAAATGGAACAATTCATCTTATAACAATAGAGATGTGACATGAATAATGGTAAAGAAGGAAATTAGACAGGATTCATAGAAGTTTAAATACAGTACAAGACTTCCATAGACAAAATATATCTTGAATGTCAAGAAAACGCAAGAATAACCTCTTCCAGTAGCATACAACTTCATCTTTTTAATGTCATCTCGACCTTTTAAGGATCATTCCAGCACCACTGCCCTTTTAATCAGGAATAATGTTCTATTTATTTTCCTGACTTGGGTAAGACATCCATTCCTTGGCTGCTTGCATATTCCTAATAAGTGGTATGTTATCTAATCACTTTATCTCCCTCAATGACAATTTCTCTTGCTGATTTCAGACTTCTTTTAGATCTTTTTACCTGCACCCATTAATCATTTTAGATGACTAACTGTGGCCATTTAGTATACAGAGGCGCATAATGGGCTCAGGGACTGAACACCAAAATTAATTTAACTAATCAAGTTACAATCTTGACAAGCTAGTAACAAAATGTAATGTTCTGATGTGTGGTTTGGTCATAAGATCTTTAGTCAATTTCCTACTTGGTGTTCTCTTTATGACTACTTCCCATAGATCCTAAAAACACCAATGTGCTCTACTGCTCTTCAAAGAAACCAGCTACCCAGGTCGCTGCCACATGCTGTGATATATTTGGATAAAGTGATGCCGACTTTTGCGTCCTTGCCGAGGCCACTAGAGACTTGATTACCTCCTGCATAGCAGTTAATTCTTCCTGTTCCTTACCGCCAACGTATCATTGTATGTACTAGCTCTATCTATAAATTCATCAATATTTGTATCACCCCTTGTATGTATGTACTTTACCTAAATAAACATTTCAATTTGAATTTAAATTTGAATCTGCATGCTCCAACATCAACGACAAGAACAATACGTGCTGAAACTAATGGGTGTCTAGACACACCTCCCTCAGTACCTGAGACATCTGCACCTACTGTCTCGCCAGTTGACCAGACGCAACCAGCTAACTACCGATTGATTGATTGATGAAGATTAAGCCACCCAAAAGGTGGCACGGGCATGAATAGCCTGTAAGTGGTGGCCCTTTTGAGCCATTACCAGTATCAAGAGCTGATACTGGAGATCTGTGGAGGTGCGACTGCACCCTGCGTGACGGGAGATGTCTCCTGTCAGCTAACTACCGCTACAGTCGTTTGCTTCTAGTCTCCAACTCCAGTATTCGCGCCAAATATGACGTCACGCCCCATATATTAGGGCTTGCCAACGTCCAGCACAGTAGACTACCCTTCGAGTGTCCCCAGGTGACGGTAAATTTCACATATATATATATTTCTCTTTGTGTTTAAGCCAAGTGGATAGGGTTTTGTTTTCATTAATTGTTCCTTACAACCGTTCAACCGTTCCTTATATTAGTTTATATATACAGTACATGTTAGGTTTATATCCAGGTGCCCTCCCTTAAGGGTCGAATTATTGATCCTCCCCAGGGTGCAACCCCGTAACTGACAAACTCCAAGGTACATATTTCTAGGTGAACAGGTGCATTAGGCGATAGGATACGCGCCCAACCATTTCTGTTCCGCTCTGAATTCGAACCTGGAATTCCTGATTGTGAATCGAGAACGAAGCCTACTGTACTACCAAGATCATAATGACGAATTCCATCTAGACAAACTTTAATAATAATAAGGGTTAATCAGTGGCCGGAATGAATAATTTTTATATATAGTAGAGTGTTAGTAGTTTAGTAAGGGCTGAAGTGGGCGGAAATCTAGGTTTTCTGTGAGTAATGGTAACTGTAGTCAAGTGTTTAATAGTTCTGCCTATTGCCTATTCTGCCTATACTGCTTATTCTATTTTGCCTACCACTCCCCGAAACGCTTTGCATAATAGTGGCTTTAGGCATTGTATGTACTAGCTCTATCTATAAATCTATCAATTTTTGTAAAAACCTCTTGTATGTATGTACTTTACCCGAATAAATATTTACTTATTTATTTAGTTAGCATTGAATTGGGTGATTGGGAGAGTGTTTTCTGTGAGTGAGATATCCCCCCTGACCGCCAGGAAGCAGTGTGGGCGCCTCCCCGCTAGCAGACGTCTCTCTTACACCACTACAACACTTTCCTGTCTATCTTATCATTATACTCTTAGTTGTAAACACCAGAGAGTTTACATCCAGGTGTAACAGATGATACAACTTGGAGCCCACAGCACGCATGATTTAAAACAAAATAGGGGAAAGGCAAGGTGGACCTTCGAACACACTTTATCCGTCTTATAAACCCTGAGGAAGACAGGACGCGGAGGCAATCTTTGTGGAAACTTAAGACCTACAGGACCACCTTCCTGCTGGTTATCTTGTAGTTCCTGTTATCTGGTGGTGACGAGGTCTGTCATACCAGCCCACGAGGGCGTGTGTTCCCACCATGTCCCCTGCTCTAACACAGCTCCACACAAGTAAATTCTCAAAGCCAAGTAAAATGTGCAAATGAATCTGTTGATATAAATAATGAAATAAACAAATTTTCCTTTTTTTTAATTGAGGGTTCTTAAGGGCTCTGTCCTCCCCCAATTTGCAAAAATTGTCAACTAACAATTCAATTGTCAAACTATCTATCATCCAGATAATGAAGTTTTCCATGGCTCTGTATCCCCCCACAAATGCAGTGCTTTATGTTTCAGTATTATAAATAACCTAGCTACACCATTGACCTGTATTTAAAACCACAAGTAATAAGAATCCAAAATAGACATGACCAAAAGTGAAACAATAACATGTAACTATATGGTAGGGAGCAACTTGACATGGTACCATATCAAGAGTATCAAAATACCACACAGCCACATACAATATACCTGGAGAGGGTGTTGAGAGTTCTTCTACTCCCCAAACCTGCCCTGAGGCTAGTAATCTTATATCTAACGTATATCTACAAAGATTTCGGTCCAATTGCTTATCTTGCAACGTGTGCCGGGTGTGTGCCGGAAGACAACGGGTACAACACTTGTGGGGTCGTGTTTTTACTGTCGGTGGGTGTTGTGCATACCGCTCTTGGTATTGTAATGTACAGGATGAGTGATGCTGCACAATATGATCATTCTTTGAGACAAAATTGCCCAAAATGTAATGCATGTTAGTGGCTTTGCAAAAATGTAAGAACAACAAATGTTATTTACTCTCAAAAACCTAATGTACCTTGTAAATAAATTAAATAAGTAAATAAAAAGTAAATAAAATATTTTTTTTATATATATTCCCATAATGACTTCACATTTACCTAACCTAGTCTAATCTAAGACATCTAAAATTACTCTAATTTGTGGGTAAAATGGTACATAGATATAACACGACTATACCAACCATTATGGGAAGTTGTGTATCACTGGTCAGCAGAGTTGGTTGGTTTGCAACTGAAAGGTTCAATTCCTGCAGTAGGATAGTATTGGTCCTGTTTCATTTCACCTGATGCCTCAGTTCACCTAATAGTAAACAGGTACAGTACCTGGAAGCTAGGCAATTGGTGTTGGTTGCACCCTGGAGAGGGTCAATAGTTTGCCTGGGGGGGGGGGGATGATAAGTTAAGGGGTAACATGTCAAATAATTTTCATGATAATTATCATTAAGTGAATTTATCATTAATTCTCATGTACTGTACAGTATTCCAATGTAGCCCACTTTCCAAAAATGGTGAAAATGTTTGTATAAAATACTATTAGAACAATATGGTGGTGTTAGATTTTTAGACTAAATTAACCTAAACAAACAAATGGATTGTATATTGGTATAAATATTTTTTTTGTTTTTTAAATAATAAGGTTAGGTTCTCAAAAATACTGCTACCCTGTTCTATACTAGAGATTATAGTATGCAGAGCAAGAGTTAGCTCATAAATGCATCTAATGTACCCATTTCATAGATGTAGGTTCATGGATGTTCATGTAGTTCATGGATGTAGGTAAAATAAAATAAAAATAAAATAAAATAAAATAAAATAAAATGTTTATTTAGGTAAGGTACATACATACAATAAGTTTTTACAAAGATTGGTTGACTTATAGGTAGAGCTAGTACATACAATGCCTAAAGCCACTATTACGCAAAGCGTTTCGGGCATGATAAACTTAAATGACAAGCTTAATACTAATTGAGCATAATGAGTCTAGTGTTTAGGTCTAGGTCTAGTGTTCTAACCAGTACTAGTAAACTAGGTAGAGTATGAGAATAAATAACTCATTGCATCAGGGGACAGGTAGCCAGTGTACATGTACGTGTTAAGCTTACATTGAGGTCCCCCCCCCCCAAGGTTGAATTACTGATCCTGCCCAGGATGCACCCCCTCAACAAGCTGACTAACTCCCTGGGTACCTATTTGCTGCTAGGTGACAGGAAATGCACTCGACGATTTCTGTCCTGCCAGGGATCTAAACCTGGAATTCCTGATTGTGAGTAGAGAATGAACCCTCCTGTACTACCAGGATCCTAAACCCATATCCATGAGTAAATAAATTGAAAGCCCCGGGTATTTTATGTCATTTGTTTTAAAATTATTGATTACAGGGCATCACTAATATGTATAGTGTTTAAGTCTCCTACACAACTGAAAAATTCAACATATTAATTTTGTTTCTAATACCTAATTTTTTTCTCAATTATAGTTCTTTCAACAATGTATAACATAGTAAAGGCTTACAGGGGTGTGTATTGTAAATAAATATTTTAAAATAATTGTAGGATATATTGTTAGGTAAAATATTGAGTAAATTATTTTTCTCTTTCCTCAAATGCAATAAATTCATTGGTGTCTATAAATGATGTTCTGTATTTATGATGATACTCTATGCTTTGGGAATACTTTTCCTGCCATTAATCTAGTTGAATAGTTTTTTCTAATCATAAAATAAAGATACCTGTACCTTTTTTTCACCACAGGCGGCTCTTGAAATGCATGAGGATCCTGTTCCTGGAAGCACCATGTAAACACAATTTTGGAAAAATTAAGCTTGAAGGTAAAATATATGGAAAAATAAGGTTAGGTTTTAGAGGCATTGGTAAGTTCAGGGCATATTTTCAGATATTGATTAGTTACAATGTATATAAGATTATCTTATTAATGTCATGGAATATACAGTACAGTATATCTTCTGTTTCTTTTTTTTAGATGGCAGAGGATAGCAATATTAATCTGGCTAAAGATGTTAAATCTAGAGAAGATGAATCACTTCATAAAGAGGAAATTGAAGGAAGTGATAATGCAATAGACGATGAAGAAAATGAAAAATATGATATATTCAGCTGTAAAGGGATGACAGGTAATTGCGTCACCGCAGACTGTGTGGGAAATGTAGAACAAGAAAAGTGTGTGAATATTGTGAATCAAAATAAATTAGATTGCATAAACAACAGTGACAAGGTAATAAATTTAAACAACAGTGAACAAAGTGATGAAATATTGTCTGGTAATAAAGGTGTCGTAACTGTGCACGGGTGCGCTCAGGAAGGCTATGCGAAGAGTTTTTGTAGCCCTGAACGTCTTGCTGAGCATCAAACAACACACAGTTCTGAGGCGAGTACTCGGTGTTTAATATGTGGGCTTAAAGTTTTAAGATGTGTCTGTTTGCATGGTTTAAAGACATTGCTTAATTCTGAGAATTTGTAAAGGAGATGTTTAAAGTAAGGTATGTAAGGAAAGGAAAATGACCTGGTGAAATGAAAGTCAGTTTTTAGGAAGAATGTGAAAGGAAGAAATGGTTAAAGGTTAGGATGGAGTGATAGTGATAACATAAACGTATGTTCATATATACAGTAGTAAACAAGCATTCGGGTTCATTTCATTGATCTGTGTCTTAGACGTTTGGCAGCTGATTCAGCATCTTGCTGTACTTGAACTTTTTTTTTTATAATAATTCATTGTGTCAGGGGACAGGCAGCCAGAGTATGGGAGTGTATAGCAGCATATTTTTGTTAAATATGTAATTAACAGTGTGGTTGTTTTAAGGTATGAAATACATATCTTATGTTTATCTTTTCAGATAGCAAAAGAAAACAATGTAAGCATAACTATAGAAGTAGAACCTGTAGCTGTATATGAAAGTGATGAAGAGGGTGATGAATCATATTCTAAAGAGGAAACTGATACAAGTGACAGTACAAAAGAAGGAAGTGAAATTGATGAAATTAACACCTGTGATGGGATGACTGACGATTATGTCACTACAAAGGCAGTGAAAAGTATAAACCAAGAAATAGAAGTGAATAGTTGTAAGAAAAATATAATAGATTATATAGAAAGCAATGATACAGTACTAAATATTACCACCAATAAAAGACGTTTGGGTATATCCAGTGGTAATAGAGGTAGCCTGATTGTGCATGCATGTACGTATGAAGGTTGTACAAAGGCATTTTGTAGACCCAATCTCCTTGCTCAGCATCAAAGAACACACACTGGTGAGGTAAGTATCTAATATGTGGGCTTTAAGTATAGATTAGTGTACAAAGTGTTCAGGAACACAACAATTTATTCCAAACATTTCATTTACAGTAGTGTCTTTCCTGGGACAGATGTTGTTTAACTCGGTAGCTCCTCGAGCTAAGCGCTGGTCCAGCCATGCTTTGCTGACATGAATCTAGCGTAAATCAGTGTATTTAGCACCCATTGTATTAGCAAAGTTGTGAATAAACTACTGTTAAGCTTGTAGCAAGTATATTAATTATATAATATACTTCCTCTATATTCTCATTAGCTTATGTCCAGCTCCACCTTTTATGTCCAACCCGTTCTCGCAAATTCGTAAAGTCAATATTGACTTATTAACTACGTGCATAGGTGATATACTAAACATAATAGATACCCTTAAAAAAAATTCATAGAAAACACCGACCTTACCTAACCTTGTTAGTATCTTAAGATAAGCATCTTATTGCTTCGTAATTACAATTATTACTTAACCTATACCTATTATAGGTTAGGTAATAATTGTAATTACGAAGCAATAAGATGCTTATCCTAAGATACTAACAAGGTTAGGTAAGGTCGGTGTTTTCTATGAATCTTTTTAAGGGTATCTATTATGTTAAGTATGTCACCTATGCACATATTTAATAAGTCAATATTGACTTATTAAATTTGCGAGAACGGGTTGTTTATGTCTTACCTAATTCTCATTCTTTAATGCTTTATAAATTTTTCTGGACAAGGGCCTTTTCACCTCCACGAAAGTGGGAAATGAGGCTCATGATACACTCATAACCAACAACATGTATTCTTAATTTACTACATTAACAAGTAATTAACAGCTAAATTTACAAGCATGCTCATATGTAAATGCTGTATTTACTTGTGCTTTCAGCGCCCGTATGTGTGCCCTGTAGCATGGTGCTCACGGTCATATACTCGACAACAACACCTCAAGAGGCACATGGAAACGGGACACCAGGAGAAAAAGTCTGAAGAGAAGTTAAAGTAAGTTTGATTGGGTCCCGTGACTTCAGTGCATGAGCATTATACTTGTAATACTGTCTGTCTTTCAACAATTGTCCACAGTTCTGTTTGAGAGGCCCTTGTAAAATTCATATGCTGTATTTCCGATTGTCAGTGAACTGTTGTCTTTTTACGTACTGTATACAGTACTGTATTTTACACATTTTTATATTTTTACATATACTGTAATTTACTGCAATACACGGTTAATGTTGAGAGAGTAAATTAGAGTATTGATTTATTTTGTTTTTCTTTGTCAGATGTGACAAATGTGAAAAATTCTTCAGTAACGTTTACTCTTTAAAGAAGCATCACTTCCGATATCATGTGCGTAATCTGTTTAAGTGTGATAGTTGCGATCAGACCTTCAAGAACCAGCAGCATCTATATACGCACTCCTATGTGCACACGGGTATCAAACCATTCAAGTAAGTCTGATTCGAAATGAATTTTTGTTCTTGACGTTATATAATTTCATATATGTCTTGATATTTTAACAAAAACCTGGACTTTTCATATATCGCTAATACAATATTACTCCAGCACTTGTAATGTCATTTGAAAATAATATGCCATATGTATTCTTACCCATTTCAGCCTGATTTATGCTGCTATGAGGCCTTTTGCTTAGTACAAATTTACCTGATTTTACTGTGGTTATATTTATAGTGAAGAATATATAAATTTAAGTAATAAAATTCTTCTGTCAGATCATTACCTTGAAGTGCACATAAGTTGAAAAACTATTCCTGCACAATTATGAGCGAGCTGATAATTTTTAGGTACGTATTTAAAATTGGTATGTTTTTGTTGCTTATCAGATGTGACTTCCCTGGGTGTGATGTAAGATGTGAAGCTCCTAGTCGTCTTAAACGTCACAAGAGGGTTCATGAGAAAAATCGCTATTCCTGCCCTCGAGAATCCTGCGGAAAAACATTTGATGAATATAAGGACCTGCAACACCATCTTTCTGTTGGTCACCCTAGAGGTAGAACCAATAAAATTTAGCTGAAGAGAAATATTTTCCATTTACCTACCAATATAGTACTGTATTATGCTCACTGCTGATCTTAAAATTTCCTTCAGGCAATTCGCATTTTCCCCCCTCCTCTTTTACTTTAATAGCAACATAGTTGCTATTAAAGTAATAGCAACTAATTGTTTCAGTAGTAATGTACATTACTACATTATCAGTAAGTAATGTACGTAGTAATTGTTTCTACTTCTTCAGCAAATGATACAGGATAATCATTGTAGTATTTACCTTGATTTGGTATCCCCCACTTATGAAAATATACTATAGTAAATAACCTAACCTACACATGAAAAGACAGGAATGAGTTGATATTTTGGCCCATCTTGGACCATTATCAAGTTGCTAATGATCAGTTGTGATTTAATAAGGGTCCAGGACTAGCCAAAATGTTGTCACATTCCTGTCTTTTAAATGAGTTGGGATATTTAGTCTCAGCCATGTTATTGTGACTTATTCTCTGGATATCCTACAATGTTGCATTTTTACCTATTTTCTTTTCCAGCCGTATTTTGAGAAGGCTACTTCACATTGTATTGAAATTAAAACAGTTACGGTCACTGAATTAAGTTTTATTTAAATTAGGCACTATAATCTTTATGAATATTTTGGGATTTGGGTTTGTGTATTATATATATACTCAGTATATATACAATATAAAGATTATCTGATTATTTTGTGGTGTTGTACCGAATGATGCAGAAAATGTGGGATTTATAAACTTCTGATATACAAGGGCTGGCTCCTGTCCAAGTACAGGAGACTTTACTCTAAATGAGTATAAATACTGTACAAAAAAGTATATACATACTGTATACTTTCACTTGAACACTCGGAACCTCGAACTGCTGACCACACAGACATTAGCCAGCCCCTCTATCAACTGAGCCAAGAACACACCCCTTAAAAGGATGGGTTTATATGATAAGGACATGGATCACCTAACACCTACATGCCAAAGTGGCACCCCATGGGAAGGCCTTAAGTTCCAGTTGGGCAGCTGGTTGGTGCCTTTGGAACTCTTCCTTTTAAGGGGTGTTCGTTGCTCAGTTGGTAGAGCAGCTTGCTAGTGTCTGTGTGGTTGGCAGGTCGAGGGGCTGAGTGTCCAAGTGAAAATATATGTATGTACTGTATTTGTAAACATGTATCTATATGTACAGTATTTAGAGTAAAGTCACCTGTACTTGGGCAGGTGCTTGTCCTTGTACATCAAGTTTATAAATCCTACATTTTCTGCATCATTCAGTACAACACCAAAAAATAACCAGAGAATCTTCATACACACACACACATATTAATAACATGTTAATATAGTAGCTGATGTGAATGTTTGGCATTTCTTCTTCAGTTATTTAAGTTATACTATAATATTATCATATTTAATTGTTTTATAACACATGTTTTTTCTATTTTTTCAGTGTGTGATATTTGCAGCAAATCCTTTCAAACACTCCAACAACTTAAAACACATCGATTAACGCATAAAAATGATAAAGTGCCTTATTACTGCCCTGTTGCAACGTGTGATAAGTAAGATTTTTTTCTGAATGTAATTTTTCTTATTTTGTAATGCTGGCCCTCTCAGTAGCTTCCTGAGGCTTCAGGTCTTTAGTGCCATAGAGCTTTTCATTTGAAAGGACCAATTTCTAAAGTCCCTGAGACCTACAAAGAACTATCAAGAACCAGGACCAAAATCTGGGCCTTGCTAAAAGGTGAGGGGAACATCATTAAAAATTTGACTCAAAATAGAGAAATCATTCCAGAAAGTTATTCAGACCAAATGGTCACTGCTCCTAAGAAAGAATTCAAATGTGACCATTAACTTGACCACCAGTTTAGGTGTGGCCATGAGGCCATGAGGCTCATTTTCACCCAATTTAGAGCCAGAGGTAGCTGTTTGCTTCTTTCCAGGATGCATTTGTGGTTATGGACACTGGTGGTGGTGAAGGCCGGGTCAGAACTTATTTACTATGCCCCTTCCCATTTCGGTTCAGGGTTTTTTCACCCATTGGGTGTGCAATATTTTTCATTGCTAGGCCTCTTTGCCATTTTCCCCTTAACCCTTGGACAGTGGCTATGGCAAAATGGTCATTTCTGCCTATGCACAAACAATAATTTTTTTTTAATCAGTGAATTATTAATTTGTACACAAAGTGTAAGGAAAAACACAAAAATAAGTGAATATTTATCATTTCATTGGGTTGAGGTGCTCTGAAAGGTTGTGTAGTGGCTGTGTCTGGCATCTGTCAACACACAGTGCCCGACTTTGCTGACGCTTCTTGTGTTATCCTCGGATGTTTCAATGAGTATTTATCACTTGTTTCTCTTTATTTGCAAGAGTGTGTGTGTGTTTTGAATAAATTGATAAATCCCATAATTCACATGGTGATGTTTCAATTGATGATTGGTTTACCTGATATACTCGATTACAACCAGTATAGAGTAGTGAAAAGGATATATACATAACATTCAAATGTGTTGGGGTCTGGGTGATGACATATGGCCTAATTGGTACCATATGGGCGAGAGTATAGATTGAAAGAAAGGCATAAACCACAAATGTGGCACACACACATGACTGCAGGCTCCTAGTATACGTAACCTTGAAATGATAGGAGAATTTTCTTTTTTGTGGGTCAAGATAAACTTCATGACATCCACAGAGAGCTATTATAACCTTATTTGCATCATACATGTAAAACCCAGACCATAACTGTTTAAATCGTCTTAGGACGATGACTGCATTTCCCTAATAACATTCATGACTATAACTGCATTCACCTTATAAGGTAATTATGAAATGGTAGCAAGAATTTTTCATGTGTTAAGGTAAATTCCATTACATCCACAGAGAGCTATTTTATCCTTATTTGCATCATATTTTGCTTATTTGCATGACCAGGCACTGTTCGACGACCGGGCCGCGGGGACACTAAGCCCCGGAAGCACCTCAAGGTATCATACGTGTAAAACCCATATACAGGTAGTTTGCTGAATTGAGGCTGCACTGAACAGATATATTTTGTGTAGATAAAATATATCTACACAATGTATAATATTGTGTAGTTGTATGGATAACCAAATCCATATAAAATGTCCGTTTTAATACAGTAAAAATAACATTCAAATAAAAATCCTGTTTTACATAGTAAAAGATAAATATAAAATATTGTATTGTGATGTGTGTCAAATTGGTAATTTATATTACCAAAAGGATAGATTGGAAGTTTCCTCCAATTAGACGTGTTCAGATTCGCTGTGTGATCAACACAGGGAAAGCTCTAGTTGAAAAATTAGCTGCAACATTTTTATTATACAATCTGAATTTTATTTGTAACATAAAGCAATTATTGATGAATAATAACTAAAAATCAACACATGATAACTGCATTATCATGGAGATCAACATGTGATGATAACAGCATCTTTATGGGTTAAAGGGGACACCACTTGTGCCCTACTTTTCCCACACTATGGGCAAAGTTTACTCGTCAAAATCTGAAGTTCAACCTGTCACAAGATGGATATCTACCCGCAGAACCTGACTAAATTTCACCATCATTGACATTTTCTCCCAAGTGTCTGCCTCTGAACATGTGTGATCTGTGTAGTTGTCTCTCCTTTCTATGGTAATAAATCAACTCTTGCTTGCTATTAGTGCACCACTGACTCTCTTACTTATAGTCTGCTATTATCAATAGTAATTTCCTTGATAAATGGCTGATATAGTCCACAAAATGTAGAGTGGAACTACTGTATATTGGGCACAAAAATACTGTTGATCGAGTTAGCATCGGTCAGCCGTGTGGATATTTTTGTAGGACCCAACAGCCACATGGCCACACGGACAGATGTAAAATCAGTACCGTTTGTATAGCACTGGTTTGCGTAGGGGATGAAGATGCAAATATGGGTCTTTAGAGGCTACTCATAAGATCAGGTATAAGTCTGCAAGTCTGATGATGTATTCAAGTGGTTTAAAGTACTTTCCTGTTTTGTTTACTTCTGGAGTACATTACATTGCCTATTAATCGGGACACAACCAACACCTAGGCCGGGTTAAATGCACAATTATTAGTAAAAGAATAATCATGATATGGGGAACATTTTACTGGACTTTATATGTTGAAAATTCTCAGGGATTTTGCTCTAACAGGGCTCTTTCTAGAGGGACCAAACTATAGAGCTGCCGGTTGGATTGCCGATGCGGGGTCTGGGGCTTCCCCTTCTCCCTCCCAGGGAGTGGGGGGGGGTGTTGCTCAGGCTGCGGTGCGGCGACGTGATGACGTCTTGCTAATTGCTAGTTTTCTTCTGAGGAGTTCTGTTCACTCGTTCGGCTTCGGTAGCAGTATAGAGGTTTGTTTTGGGATGCCTACCTTTCTGGATGACAGACCCAGTCGCTGGCAGAGATAGAATGCTTCCAATCACACAGGAGTTTCTATAGGCCATTGCTCCTCCTGCCTCTCTGAGGGGGCCAGATTCTGGCTCATGGTCCCCAGTAGGCAGAATCCTTGCACTTTGATGCCAAAAAGCTATTAGTTACATATCAGCCTGGATAGCTCCGGGGAGCCTATGGGTCACACCCAGAAAATGGCGTTTCATTACATTCATCGCTGGATTTTTTTTGTGTGTATGTTTGGGGGGGGGGGAGATTGATATGTATTTTTGTTTAGGCTAAAAATACAAGTCAAGTTTGTTGATCTTTTAATTAACAAATTATGGCATTACATAAAAAATAGCAACTGCACCTTCCTTGCTATCACTGATGCAGATGTGGTCAAAGTCAGTTTTTTGGTTCTTCTCTTCATATATGCAGCAGAGCAAGATCACAGTCTGCCTTGACCCATGCAGGCTCTCAAAAATGAAAGTATTAGTTTTAACTTGCTGAATGATCTCTCACAGCTAGCAATGGAAACTGCAATGATTAGCATTATCTGAATAGCAATGCAAAGATTGGAGAAGACATTATCATCTCCATACTGAACAATAAATTTGAGAAGGTCTTCAGGTCTTGATATTTTCCCGTTGGCTTGACTTGATCACAACATTCTGCAATCCAAAATATCTTCCCAGCACTGTATTTATACATAATAATTTATATAACCGGTTTAACAATCTGGCCATCCATGTGCTTCTCTCACATGAACATCAAAGACAGATGATACATTTGAAGAATTTTTCTTCACTATCTGAGGATGACTTGTCTGGCTTTAATACTGTTCAGTTGCACCTGCTTCAAGTGGCACTTTCTTCATGTGCTCTGCCATTTTCTGCTTGTTCTGACTTTTGGTGCCGAGTTTCCTAGAGCCTGCAAATGTCATTTAGTTCAGTGAGATGTAGTTTGTGTGTCCAGAATTTTGTGATACACACACTAAAATCACAGCTGTCCATCTCTTTCAGCTGATTTTCAAGGAACTTGGTTTTTCTGCTATATTTAATTATACTTGCCCTATGCTTCTGTGCATGGATCTTATCTGTCAGTTTCTTTGTTGGGCAGTTTAGCTTCATTAGCCTTGTGCATACCCCTGCACATATGATTGAGTAAATATATTGCCTTAGTGGCATTTTTTGCCAATATGCCTACTGCCAATTTTAGGATCCGGGGTTTCTGGAGGTCTAATAGAGTACTTGCCACCAGATATCTCCCAGACCTCCCTCGCCCTCGGCGACGCTGTGTTGCCTTGAGGAGATTGACATCTACCCGATGTCCACGTCTGCTTCATACCGGGTCTTCTGCTCCTTGCTGCTGCCTTGTCGGGTAAGACTCCCATACTGTTATTATGTTACTATTATGTTTCCTCTTGGCATAATAACTTCTTATCACCATGGGAAGGCAGCTAGGAGATCTACTGAAAAGTTGTGTCTAGAAATAGTGTGTTGAGTGTAAAAAAAATGCCCCCTTTTCTGAATCCTTGGTAGCAGTCTGTCCTTGCCCTTTGATCCCTGTCTTACCTGAGCTGTTGGGGTGGCCAAGGCTCAGTGAGGTGGTTTCTTCCTCTTCTTCAGAGACTTTTGAAACATGTCTGTATGTCAGAGTGGACACTTTCTTGGTTGGAGAGACAAAAGACATGGTATGAAAAGGTACTTGTTTCCATGTTACAAAAGTCATCCAATGCCTTACTGGAGCTCTATCCTGAGTGTATTCAGGGCCTTAAAAAGGAACTACTGAGGGGATTCTTGCAAATAAAATCTATTTGAATCACTTAGAACTGTCTCTCCTGATCCACGCATGTTGTTGGCCTATATAAACAATAGGAAAAGACTTGGTTCCTTTGAACCAAGTCAGCTCCCCCTTCCCCCTCCCGGGGAAGGGGGAGCTGCACAGACATGTGGCCCGGCACGTGTGACTTCATGCTCGTTTGCTCGTGTTTCATTTGGAGAGGTCTGTCTACTCGTTAGTCTTCTGTAGTTGTTTTAACCGGAATAGGGGGTCTGTTTTGAGGCACTTACCTTTCTGGGTGCCTGACCCTGTCGATGGCAGACATAGAATGTTCCAAACACATGTGCACTAATATAGGCCATTGCTCCTCATGCCTTTCTGAGGGGGGCCAGGTTCTGGCTCGTGGTCCCCGGTATGCCCAGAACTCCATCCACACTGACTGATGCCAAAGTCTAATAATATACAGTGGCGCCTTGATTAACAAATTTAATCCATTCTGGCACCGAGCTCGTCATGTGGAAAACTCGTCTTGCGAAACAACGGCAACACTGTCGTCGGAGGTGTCCGAGAACCAGCGGAACGCTCGTTATCAAGCGAAAGCTTGTCAGTCGAGACAAAATTTATGCGAGTGGCTTGCTTCTTAATCAAAATGCTCGTAACTGAAGTCGCTCGTCACTCGAGGTTCCACTGTACATATCAGCTCCGGGGAGCCTCCGGATCTCACCCAGAAAATGACGTTTCATTACATTCAACGCTGTTTTTTTTGGTAGGGCATGGTAAGCTATCTGACAGTCATAAAATCATGTAGTATGTTTTGTAATACTGTACTGTACTGTATTGGGGAGTGTCTGTATCGTGAAATACAGTAACTTCATTTCTTATAATTTTTTGTTAATAGGTGACTGAAGTAATTTACTTGGTGTTCACTGCTCGGGTCTGCATTTAACCTAGACTCATTAACTTACACCATTATTATTATTATTCTTGTATGTTAAGTATATCATTTCTCTTATAGTCCCCATTATACTGGTTACATTTTAATTTGTGTGTTTTAGTCATTCATTATTTAATTTATATAGTAGTTAGATTATTCCTGTACGTACGTATTCCTGAGTACGCGCAGCGTTTCCTGCCCGAAACGCTGTGCGTACTAGTGGCTTTACAAGATTGTAAATACTATGCTATGTATTCTCATAAACCCAATGTACCTTCTTGTATATAAATAAAATAAAATAAATAAATAAAATAAAATTATTTAGCATGTGCTGTAGTTGTGGCCAAGTTGGGGATGACTGAGAGACCTATGACAGTAATGAGCCTTAATCAAGGATTGTAGCAGTTGGGTGTCCCAATTATTCCTGGTCCTGAAGAGGGACTCAACGGACCTTTGGTTCTTTCATATTTTTGGGGGTTTGAACAGCTTCATTCCTTGTCTTACTTTCCACATGATTATGGTAGCCCAAGTTCGGTTGGTTCTCCAATCGAGGGGTTGAATGGTGTCCCTGGCCTACTTCAACAACCAACTAATCCATAGCCTGCTGGATTAGGGCCGACATGTGTCAGTTAGCCAGGGATCTGTTTTTTTCCAAGCTTGCTGGGTTCAGGTTCCTGGTGAACTGGTAAAAGTCCCAGTTGGTTTCGTCCCAAGTTTGGACTTGGCTAGGTCTTGTCTAGTACTCTTCGTTGGCTCTTTTTCCCTGTCTCCTTCAGCCTTGCTCCACTTACAGCTCTGCTGTTATCTCTTGGGACCAGCCCCAAGTGACTTGACAGTTGGTTGAGCAAATGTTTGGGAACCTGAATTTTGCCTGCTTGTTTTTCTCATTGGGAAGAGTTTGTCTCAGGGTTCTGTACTGGTTTCTCTGGTTCCAGTCATTTCACAGCTGCTGCATCTGTTAGGTTAGGGCCCTGGCTGCCCTTCACCGGCTGTTGCTTCATAGACTTCCTCTTTGGGCATTTCAGGGTTCGATCCTGTAGCTTCATCACTCGATATTTTTACAGGTGTATTGGCTCTGAGTTGAGGCTTTGTGAACAATGCTTGCCAGTCCTCCAAGAGTAGGTGGTTGGGCCCATTTCTTCGGCTGATGTGACTCATAGTATGGGCCACTCTCAGCGAGAAAGCTACAGGTAGCCTCCTGGGCTGTACTAGAAAGAGGAGTTTCATTATATTCAACACTGGATTTTTTGGATTGGTTTAAATAAGAGTGACAGAAAAACACACTGAACAAACCACCATTAAAACTTGCAGTTATGGGTAATGATCAGCAGATGATGTCGTACCACATACCTATGTAGGAAATTTTTCATTTCAGGATGTATATTATGTTCGAAGGTTCTGATGGATGGTCATGCAGGAGTGGTGTAGCCACTGTGGCACTGTTGTCTATGTCAAGCTATCCTAGTTGAAATTGAGTGTTCTAATTGTACAGGGAAAAGTACACCTGTGAGAATGATAAAATGAACATCCTCAAAATATTTATTGTTGTTTTCACTTTATGATTTATCTATATTTCAGATACTTCTACCAAAAACAAAATTTAAAGGCACATATTGCGGTCAAACATGACCAGTCGAAGATCTTTGAGTGTGGTGTTTGCAGCAGGCGGCTTTCCTCCAAGGTAAACATTTGCTGCTGTTCTTGTTAGTGCTCGCCCATATTAATGCTCCAGCGACTCCTTTAAGGAAACCAATGTTACATTTCCTCTCAGTTTTGAAGGTTACCAAATGAACTTGTTTTATGACTTCTCATGCTAGGGATCCACATTTATGCATCCTAGAAAATAAATGTGGAAAATCTGTATCACTCCTTTACCATTATGTTTTCCATCTATGAAACTTTGATATTTATGTCATCAAGGAAACACTTTTTGTAATTCTCAACTGTCTCTTGCCTATAAAAGTCCAAATTTTTCTTGGTACAGTATTATCTACATACAGTATATACAGTATTTAATTTTGAACATTTATTCAGTTTTATATTCAAATGTTATTAATGTGTTCTTGATATATTACAGCAAAAGTTGATGCACCACACAAAAACTCATACCCCAGGTTACAAGCGGAACTATTCTTGTACCCCAGGGAAGCCTCGCAAGCCTCGTAAAGACAAAGGTGTTCTGCGTAAAGATGTCAATCGTTATTTATCTGTGTACTATAGTGATGATGAGTCTAGAGAAACGAAGGATTTAGAAGGCAATACAAATGACAAAACTATAGAGGAACCTCAGTGTCAAACCAATCTTAATGTAAACGAAGAAATTAGTCATGTTTCTGTAGAAGAGATGAATGTAAAAAATATGTGCCAAGCAAGTATTGAAGCCACAGTAACTTCTTAACTGTTGAACTTTTGATTTACCTGAACTTTAGTTTATATTAATAATTTTTTTTTAATTTATATAAAAAATCAAAGGGAAAGGAGTACGACCTCTGGCTGGAAGAAGGGGGACCCATAGCCTCGGAGGAAACCACACATAACGCATTAGAGGGAATGTAGGTCCCCTCCAATACAGTTTCTGTGTGCTTTTCTCCTAATAATTGTATGTTAAATGTATATTAATAATTGTATGTAAAATAATTCCTTGTTAAATGTTTTACACCTGCTATGTTGTGTATATGGTATAGTTGTGTACAGTATAGTCATTTGAGCAGTACTGGGATATTAGTGTAACAAGCAGATAGATTATTTTATTTATTCAGTACTGAGGCAATTCATATTATGTATGTAAATAGTTCAAAAATATTTTTAATTGTATATATATTTTTTGTTGTCATTTTCAAGATGAGCATGAAAGTTGTAGCAGAAATTTCGCAGAATTTTGGGAGCAAGTGATTTCAAATATAGTGCCTAATCTATTACCTGTGAGTCAGAATATGTATCTGTCAGAGCAACAATATGAGTAATGTGCCAGATAAATTACCAAAAATACTAAGTACAGTATCTAAAATGGCCAGATTCCTACAATTTTGGTTGAATATTTTATCATACTGTTAAATTTTTTCCAGATAAACGATTAAAAGGAGCCAAAGTTTCAAATATTATTATTTTTAGATGTGGCATTGGCAATCAGGTAGCTGATTAGTTTTCTTATTGGGTCTTTCCCCTAAAGACTACAGGGTGTCCACAAATTATTCTCCCCCAATTATCACCTACATTTTGACTTGTTAATTAAAGATAGTCACACCACTTCCTATTACTTTAGGTAATATTTTACGATTTTACAACTTCTGAAACATGTAAAAATATAAACGCTTTCATATATTAAAGCATCTATGTAAGTAATGTCCAGTATTTCTATGGTGTTAAACAATATCATCTAAATATGTGCTCATCATCAATCATCGTAAATTATCACCCATTAATCACCACCACCTTGTTTCTGCACATGCATGTGATGAGGAGGCACTTGTTGGTATAGGATAGGTATAATGTGTTAAAGATGTTATGAGAAAAAGTGGGTCCTTTATAATACCTTCCCCACTCAATAGCATCATAGGGAAAAATAGTACAAGTATAATTTTTAAAATAGCAGCAGCCATATCTCAGCACTTTTGTAGATTAAGTGTAAAATACAGCTTGTGAATTGCTGCAAATAAAATTCCTTTCATTCCTTACTAGCAAATTGCTTTTACTCATTCTGCTTACTATGTGTACAGTGTTTGCATACCGCATTACTTAACAAGCTCACTCTCCATATCTGCCCATCATTCACATCTGCCATCTTCCCTCCCTGCAGTTTTAATATAAAGTATATTTTATTCTTTCTATCTCTGTGGAGTCCCTTGGCAGCTCCATGAAGCTATCACAAAACTGTCAGTAGTTTCAAAGCGTTATACGACAAAGAGTGCTGGGAAGACGGGACACCACGAGTGTACCTCTCATCTTGTAACTACACTTAGGTAATTACACTAATATTGCGCCATACTAAATGTCATATCAATTGTGAGAATTCTTGCTTATCCTACTGGGGACCAGAGCCAGAACCTTGACCCCCTCACATAGGTACAAGAAGCAAGTGACAGCTCGCTACTCTACCAACACAGCGTTAGACAAATGAAGGCTTTGTGAAAAATGAAGCCTCAATTGCTGAACAACTCAGCAAATGAAGCACACAGTACACACAAATAAAGTACAATCAAGATTAGATGGATGAATAAAATATTGAATGTTATATATATTAATGTAAAATATATAGTCATAAAATATAACGAACAGATAAAAGTTTATGAAAAGTTTGAAATAAGTGACATTTGAGCAGACCCATCAATGTAAGCATAGTGCTCATGAGGCTGTAAATTATCTTTTAAGGACTTTATAGTTTCAAGTATTATTGCTTTAAGGAGTACAGGGTTTTCCTTGCTCTTTTTGCTGCTGGGCATGTAAGAGACTTGTATTTTATGGTACAGATATAATGAAATATCATTAATGAGTACGTTGCATCTAATAGGAATATTCAGTTTGATGAAATTGGGCACACTTCATCTCAACCAGTTTGCATACAGGTAGCTCGCTAGTGCATTGGCAACACATTCCCTACCTACAAAAAGCACTAGTCAGTTTATCTCTTAAGTAGTACCAGTGATGTCGAATCTCTCATGACCCTCCAGGAGGCCTGGTCGACGACCGGGCTGCGGGGACGCTAAGCCCCGGAAGCACCTCAAGGTAACCCTGACACAGAAGATTGTGTTGAGCTGTTCAATTCTTCCACATATAGTTGGAAGTTTCAGCTCCTCCCTCACATTGATGATGCTTTTGCATCTCCAAGAATTAACCTTTTGGCTTCATTTTAAATTTTTCTAAAGCTTTCAGCTGAGTGTTTGGTCGATTTATAAGGTGTATGGCATGTTAGTCAACTAGGGATCTAATGAACATCATGTAGAACATTCTGGCATATTAAACATTAATACCAATGTACTTTCCAAAGAGTGTATTTAGAGGTTTTAGTCTTTCATTAAGCCTAAGCTGTAGTTCATTTACAATATCAATGTTAATATTCACATCCAAAGTATTTGTGTTGCCAGCAGTTTTCAATGCACTTTTTCATTGACTTTTAAAAACAAAGGAAGTTTTTTTGGGGGGAAACTGACTGTAACCGAAATAGTTATGTACGATTCGATCTGATGCTTCTGCATTTACCGGCACTCTGCAACCTAACCTCAGGGTTCTCCTTGTCATGATGCTGTCATACCATACATCAACCATTGCTGTATCCATTTACATCAAATATACATCTCGTTACCATAGTGTGTGTTTATTGTCCAACATGAAGAACGTTACAATAACTTGCATATACACTCTGACCTGGGCCTCCAAATTCCTGGAACTCAATATTTATATTAAAATGTAAAGTACATTACCAGTAGCACAAGCATTTGGTATAATTTACAGTCTCTGTGGCGTAGTGGTAAGACACTTGCTTGGCGTTCCGCAAGTGCTTTGTCCTGGGTTCGTATCCTGGCCGGGGAGGATTTACTGGGTGCAAATCCTTAACTATAGCCTCTGTTTAACTCAACAGTAAAATGGGTACCTGGTTGTTAAACAATTTGGCGGTCGTATTCTGAGAAACACGCTTTGCCTGCTAGTGGCTGTACAAAAATGTAAGAGCTCTTGTATATACAAATAAATTTAAAAAAAAAATAGAAAAAATATAGAGGGGTGTTGTACATGCTGCTATGGCGGTATGTCCACTCACAGGTTGATTGATTGATGATGATTAAGCCACCCAAAAGGTGGCACGGGCATGAATAACCCGTAAGTGGTGGCCCTTTGGAGCCATTACCAGTATCACCCTGCATGACGGGAGATGTCTCCCCACTCACAGGATGAGTGGCTGTCCAATAAACTCGCCCCTCAAGGGGAAAAAATCTAAAATTTAATTAATTAATTAACAGTTATTATGTACGAGTCGACCGGCCCTCGTGCACGAATAGTGAGACGAACCCGTGTACGAGGCGACGTATGTGTATGTACGAGGTGACCTGTGGGCGCCTTAACACGTGTTGGGGTCACGTGGTGAAGTGTTGAGGCGCCTCCAGCTGTTAGTGTCACGTGGTGAGTGCCACCACCACGTGTCCCACAGTGCCAGGTCACTGCCAACACCCTAGACGTGTCACACGGCACTAGAGAGGCTCAACTCACCGGGCTCCGCCAACCACTGAAGGTGAGTGAGTCAAATTACACCAAAAGTACCTTAATTAAACAAAAATATTATTCGGTAACGCCTACAAATGAAATTAACCTAGAAATTAACCCAAATCATGAGTAATGGGGAAAACCCGGTGGTACAGTCGGGTTTATTCTCGACCCACAATCGAGAAATTCCGGGTTCGAATCCCCGGGGTCGTGAACAAATAAGTTGGGCGCGTTTCCTCTCACCTGATGCTCCTGTCCACCTCGTAGTAAAGAGGTACCCCAGGAGTTAAGTCAGCGTGTTGTGGGGGAGTTGTATCCTAGGAGGGGGGGGGAGATAATTAAATCCCCCTAATTAATAATTAATAATCAGTAGTTAGACCCCCAAAAATACCAATTTAAGAAAATACCAAATATATATATTCTCACCAACTCATTGTACCTTATTGTAAATAATAATTATTATTATTATTATTATTAATATACCCATAATGGGGTGAGAATAGCTTGAGCTACCTCATCCCTTTGTGTGTATTTTACCTCAATAAACTTATTTCAATTTCAATTTCAATTTCAATATACCCTTTGGGTGGGGGGGGGGGATTATAGGCTTCGATATAATATAAACCTAACATATACTGCATGTACAACCTGCTGGCTTCCTGTCCCCCAACACAATGAAATATTATGCATTATAACTTCCTCTGTGTTCACAAAGACAATAAACCATTCCCACATACAATATACCACAAAGAAGTTTCTCAAACAGTGAGCATTGTCTCCAAAATAAGATCCTGTACTATGTATCCGGTGGCCGCACCTTAGTACTGTAATTCTGTAACTGCGAATATCCTTATTGTTAAAACCGTATGTTGCTAGTTTTGGCTGTGTTAGGTTAGGCTAGGTTATTTAAAGTTTGGTATATACATTATATATACATACATATATATGAATGTCTCATTGAATATGGCAGCATATTCCGTATTTACTATTTTCTGATTTAGGGCTTCTATCCCTACCTGTACCTGATCAACCAGGCTGTGACTCATACGTCAGGCTGCGAGCAGCCGCGTCCAACAGCCTGGTTGAGCAGCAAGTCAGGTGTGTAAATTATTAATAATGTTAAATGAATTACCGATTTTAAAATACTGTAAAGCATTGTCTCTGATGTTTGTTATTGCTGTACAGTACAGTTAGTAGTATTTAGCTACTCTTATATATTCTCTACCCATCTTTTGAGTATTTTCAGCCCCGTAATGTGTTTCTATGCCAGTATTTTATGATATGGAATACTGTACAGTATATACCCATGTTTCTCTTTTCAGATGGAAAATGAAGCAAATATGAATATGACTATAGAAACTGCATCTGGGGATATATACAAGAGTGCTGATGGGGCTGAATCATTATCCGAAGAGGAAGTTGATGTTGTGGGTGCCAGTGCAGCAGATGGAAATAAAGGGATCGATGTGAACCTCTGTCAAAGGATCACCAGTAATGGTCTCGCAGTGAAGTCGATGACGAGACTGAAACGTGAAAACAACGAATTGGATAGTTGTCAGAGAAATGTTAAAGATTGCTTGGAAATTAGTAGCACTGCAATAGTTAGAAAAGAGAGTAAGCAACACACAAGAACATCCAGTGGTAGCGAAGGTAACCTGACCGTGCATGTGTGCACACATGAAGGCTGTTCAAAGGTGTTTAGTAGACCCAGTCGCCTTGTTCAGCATGAAAGAACACACACTGGTGAGGTGAGCGTTCAATATTTGGCCGTCTAGTTAATGTTTGTGTATATATTTTTAGTAGTGAATAATTGTTCTTCATATTACTGTATAATTATTATACTTTACTAAAATATACATAATATTACTGTAACATGCATAACCCAAAACACTATGTGTCTTAGTGGCTTTGCAAAAATATAAAAACACCTATGTTATGTACTCTCACAAACCCAATATACCTTCTTGTACCTGTATGTATGTATGTACAGGTATATATATATATATTGTATATTATAAATAATTATTGTAGCATAGAATAGTCTACCAAGTGCTATTTTGAGGAAAAGAATTTTACTTTCTGGGAGGGCTCCTTGGTGCTAGCTACCTGGCAAGCTCCACCCAATTCAATCCATACCAGGCCCTTACAAATTATTGTAAGCCTACCAGGGACCATAGGTTAAAATCTGGCCACCTCTAAAAAGATGTAAGGAGCAGGGGATTCACCCTAAACAAGAAAAACCACCAGAAAGTTGGGTGAACTAAAACATACAAGATCAACAAGCCACAATGTAGGACAGAAAACAGGAGATGCTTTTTCACCTATAGGGTTGTAAATCCGTGGAATCCCGCCAAAGCCGTTAACGCCAAAACTCTGCTGGGTTAGAAAGGATCATCCGGGCAAATGGAGATATCTTTGACAAGCCGTCAGCTTCCTCTCCTCGTCGAGGCCACTAGTATTGGTGGCTCTTGGGTAAATTCAGGTAAATACAAACGGCAAGATAAGTAAAATCATGAGAAATGAAACAGCAAAGTCTTGAGACAAACAAATCACCTGCTCATGAAGCAGTTCTCTCATTATTTACACCTGCTTCCCTTCCTCTGTTCCCTAGCCATTAATCTCAGTCAATTTGCCTGGTGCTTACATCTATGACATTCAAGGTTATGCTCCTCTTCCTGCCCCATTGCTCTTTAGGTCCTGATTTTTCAGATAAGTGTGACTTATGGTCATTGGCTCTGGGTTTTAGTTGAACCTCTTAAGGACTCTGCTTATCGGGCATCTACAGAGTTATAAACTGAGTAAATTATTTCTTACAGTGCATTTACATTCTATCCTGAATAGTGTTTTCTCCTTTTAATATAAAATTTGGAGGTGGGAAAAGAATGATGCAAGCACTGGCTTGAATGTGTCGTAATTTTCAAAAGTTGCTAAATACCTGTACTGTATATACCATATGTACTGAATTTGTGTGTGCTTTCAGCGACCCTATGCATGTCCCTCTGCAGGATGCTTTCAAACATACACTCGACAACAACATCTCAAGAGACACCTAGAAATTGGACACCAAGACAAATCTGACGAGAAATTAAAGTAAGTTCACTGAGGACCCACAACTTTGTAATGCTGGTACTGTAATGACTTTTTTGTGTGATGTTCATTTTGATTAATGAATTAGTATTCTATTTTAGTATTTATATACTGTATATATTTATATATATATTTTTTCCCCAGATGTGATGAATGTGAAAAGGTCTTTAGCAATGTTTATTCTTTGAAGAAACATCATTACCGATATCATGTGCGTAATATGTTCAAGTGTGAAAGCTGTGAGCTAACCTTTAGGAAGCAGCAGCATTTGCGTACACACTCCTATGTGCACACTGGTGTCAAACCATACAAGTAAGTCTAATTCATTGTGAAAAACATGCTTCAAGTTCATGAACAAAAATCACTCATATCTACAATATTTTATGGTCAAACAATTTAGTCTTTAATATCTAAGGATAAATGTTCTTTTTAGATCCCATGACCCAGTTGATGAAAGAACACATTAATATCCCTGTTATAAGCTTTCATTTGTTTATATACCTGTCATGTTATGTTTTCTTTACTCATGATCTTTCTAAAAAATTAAATTGAAGTTATTCAACCTTCAAGTGCTTAAAAAACTGTCATCATTCTTTGTAGACTGTCTAAAGAGAATGTCTTCATTCTCAAGTACAGTGCCCAAAGCTCAACTGCATAATCTAAATAGATTATGCTGCTTATAATTTTTAGAAATCTATATTTCCTAGGGCGCAGGTAGGAGAGATACATATTACAGTACAGTACAGTACTCTAATTTACACTTGGAAAATCTAGATGAACTGGTTCCAAACCTGCACATAAATCAGAAGGACCACCACTTGAGACCAGAAGGCAAGGTAGGATGTGCAAAAGAGCTCTGTTGAAAAGCAGAGGTGCAATAGGTATGCTAAGAGAAAACACTTATTAATGTTAAATACCCAAGACTTTCAATGAACTCCCTCTGCACACAAGGGGCATAACTGGCTGACCTCTGACTGTGTTCAAGAGAGAACTTGATAAACACCTTCAAAGGATACCTGATTACCGAGGCTGTGATTTTTAAGTTGGGCCCTGAGCAGCTATGCCGAGCAGCCTGGTTGACCAGACCACCAACCAGGAGGTCTTGTCAGAGACCAGGCTGTGGGAATGTTGATCCCTAGAACCAACAACAGGTAGGCAGACCTTTGGCAAGCCAATGGCTTCCTGTTCTTCTCTACACACTAGAGATGGTGACCTTCAGGCATATTTAGGAATAAATAAAGTTTCTTTGAGCTAGGATATTTGCAGATCTTTTCCTTGACTGGAATATTGATAGCACTGGTCTTGGATATGGGCAATACTGGATTTGGAATATTTGTATTTGTTCTGGACTAGGATTTTGACGGTACAGTTCTTGCCTTTGACTGGGATATTGACAGAACTTTTCCTACATTGAGAAATTTCGATACTTTCCCTGGACTGTAATGTCGATAGTAATACTGTAGTAATATAGCATAGATAGATTTTTTCCTGGACTAGTATTTACAATACTTGCCTAAAGCACAATAGTCACAGGGAAAAGACTGGAGGGTCAGGCCCCAAACTTCCATGATGAAATTTCAAGCTCCTGAAGCGAGAGCTATGGTAATGAAGTGTAAAACACTGTAAATTCAATGACAAATTTGTTCATCTTAGGCATGATGAGAGTAACGTGGTGACTCTTCAGTCTGCTGCTATCAAATATACTGTAAGAAATATTGCTGGAACAGCAGTAGAAGCTTTCAAGATTGAACTTGCTAAGTTTCTGCTGGAGGTACTTGATCAGTACCTGGAATATGTATAGCACTTGCTCTGGAGATTTATATTTTCTGTACTCAGTATATTTTCAGCATCAGGATTGGGATATTTACAATACTATTTTTGGATTGGAATATGATGTTTTAAATAATATTTTATTTATTAGGTGATGGATGTATGAAATACAACCTACCCTTCCCATAAAAACTACAGTACCAGCTTTTCTCATGTCATATTTCCTATTTACAAATTTCTATAAATAATAATTTCTAGGTGTTGCACATATTTTAAATTTAAATTATGTTCATACTGTATTTTGTTACATTTTTTGTTGGATGTTATCAGATGTAACTTCCCAGAGTGTGACGTTCGATGTGAGACTCCAAGTCGTCTTAAGCGTCATAGTATGATTCACGAGAAAAACCGCTATGCTTGCCCACAGGAATCTTGTCAGGAAACATTTGATCAATATAAGGAACTGCAACACCATCTCTCCACTAATCACCCAAAAGGTAAACGACTATCAGTCAATTTCCACATTTCTGTCCTTATGGAGAACAAGGACAGAGCAACAATAATAATAACAATAATGATGTAATTGTATTTTGCTTGTCTCCAGTAAACAATGTGGAATAATTATAATGATTTGCACTTAATTGGATATTTTGGGTACAAGTTGGGTATTCTGCATGGTTTTGCTTTGGTTATTCTGTTACTATATTTATCATATATTGAGAGCTCCTTTATCAGTGACATCAAAACATCAAAAACAACTTCAAAAGCTCAGAAAACTTGATTCCTGGGGCCTGCATTCAAATTTCTGCTAACGTCCCTCTTTACTTTTTTTTTTACTTTTAGTATTGTTAAAATGCAGTCCTTGTTCATGGGAAACTAACAAAACAAAATAAATAATTTTTTTTACTGTGGCTGTGGTGGAGTGAGGAAATCTTTCGATGACATCATGATTCACCAGTGTTCATGAAGCAATCTCTACGTTCAGCTTAGCCCTGCATGTTTTGCATAAAGTTGTAACTGCACACATTGAATATATTATATTTTCTCAATATTTTTAATGCTTTTATCATGTTCTTCAAGTGCAGTGATACATTGGGCTGTCAATGTTATTTATATCATAGACTGTGTAAAACATAGGTATGCAGATATATTCATGTCACTAATATGTGCACAATATTATATTTGTTGAACAAAAAAAACCATAGTTTTTGTTATTATTACAATGTATAAACATTATATATAACTATACCACACCAATCAGAACTGCATAGCAGTTCATAATACAATACTGCATAAAAATGTAATCTCATAACCATTGCATAGCGCCACATGCTCATCAGTTCCTAACATCACCTGGCAGAGCAAAGTGCCTCCCGATATACTATGTACAGCGCCAACTCTATCATTGACAAATACTTGATTACTCATTTATTTCACCATTAAGTGATGGTGTGGGCATGAGCTGGATGGTAGTGGCATGAGCTGCTGCTGCATGTGCTAATCATGGTTGCTCTTAGTACTGAGGCCTTCACGCCCAGGATTTCCGGCACCCAACCCCAAAGATGGTGTAAGTTTACTCGAGGCCTGAGGAAGCAGATGTGAGCACCTTGTATGCACAGGAATTTTATCTTGACTGGGGTTCTTTCCCCAGAATTGGCTCTTGTGTATATTTCTTTTCAGCTTTATAGATTTTGTTGTCAATTATCAGAATTTGGTAGCTGTAAGGGAAATAGAAACTAGTTTTGCAGTATTTGTTTATACTGTAATGTAAGCAATGTTTGTACCTGAAAGATTACAGAATAGGCCATACTCTCAATTATTGAACAAGACTTCATTTGCTTATTAATTATATTCTTGTACTAATAAAATAAATATGTTGTGTAATATTTATATTTGCAGTAAGGTAAATGACAGTCCTGTTTTCTAACTACATTATCTACAGTGAATTTCTCCAAAATAATAGATGAAACCCTATTATGTTATAATAGGGTTTTAAGTAATAATGATTACAATGCGGTTACAATCTAATATAATATATTGTAAAACCTTACAATCTTATTGTTTACACCTGATTGACAATGTCCAAAATGTTATATGGGTCTATTTGTATTGGCAAAACCTTTTCCATTTTTCACCATAATGGCTTGGTATTAGTATTTTGCAATTCTTATGAATGTATCTGCAAATTGTGTGGGTGTGCTGTACATTATTATTGTATCCACAACACCAGTACCTGCTGTGGTTACATTGATTGAAGTATTCACAGCAACTGAATTGTTCTGAAATACTTTGGTGTCCACTCTTTCGTGTTTCATACACACACTTCCTAGATTTCACAATAAAATGTTATATGTACTGTTACTGGAGAATTTTGAAAGGGCGATATTGATGGTATTTTTCTGTTAAATAGTGCAGCTTTTGTAAAATTTATGCTAAATATAAAGAAGGAGGTTGTAATTTGTGTGTTTTTTATCATTTGTAATTGGTTCTTTTTACAAAAATTAAAAGGTTAGTACGGTATTGTTAACTTTTTATTTTAATTTTACAGCTTGTGATATCTGTGGCAGAACCTTTCGGCAACTTCGACAGGTTAAAGTACATCGAATGACTCATGAAAATGTCCAAGTGGCTTATTTCTGCCCCTTTGTAGCTTGTGATAAGTAAGGAATCTTGTCGTCTTTCAGTAATTGTTTGTAAAAATGGAAATGCTTACATTATCACCATTAAGTTGGGTGGCAGTTAGCTGTAATGCTAGCTGTATACAGCATGTCTCAGAACACCTTTTTAAATTTCATTTCAGAAATAAATAAGTATTTTCAATGTAGAGTATCAGGTTCTTGCTGCTAGAAATGATAGATAGCATAAAGTTTTGAAATGGGTAAGTGTGGCCCAAGTTCTAGCCACTACTCATTTCTTTCAATAGAAATCATTTATTTATTTTGTCATTCATCTTTATTTCAGGCACTTCTACAAAGAAGAGAACTTAAAGGCACATATTGCAACTAAACATGAGCAGTCCAGGATCTATGAGTGTGGTGTTTGCAGCAAACGTCTTTCCACCAAGGTAAACTATTTTGGCTCTTTACATTATTTGTTCTCTCGTACATATTTCACAGGGCTCTTAGCTACATTTTTTCTTAACATGCTTTGTACGCACCGGCATGTGATTATGCTTACATACACTTTGGTCACACAGGTTGCCTCACCTGTGCAGTAATTCTTAGCTGATTTGAATTTTATTCTTTTTCTATTCATTCTCTTAATCAAACCTCTCAGTACTGCCTGGTAAATTTGTACAGGCAGTTCCCCAATTACAAATGAGTTATGTTCTGAGACTTTAAAGCATTTATTCGGAACACGAATCAAGATTTTCTATAGCCTCAATGCTGTAAGTGTGAGATGTGTTCCCAGGCCACCAAAAATTGTCATAAAACTAATATTTTTGGGACACATAATATAAAAAAAACATTATTTACCTTGAATAATGGATTTATCCTGCTTGTCAATGTTAGCTGTTTTTAAAGAGTGAAGTGGTATAATTACATGAATAAATAAATGAAAATACATGTACACTGGGGTGGTCAGTCATTTTGTCTCGCAGTAAAGGCCTCATGAGTAAACACCTCCCCACCATCCTACCTACAGCCCAGGGCCCCACCCCACCCACTGGTGGGGGTGTATCACACACCCTACCACCCCCCACCCTGGCCACTAGTGGACTAAACACTAGACACCATAGTTAGTGTCTGGCCACTAACCTTGGACACAGACAGACAGACAGAGACATTCTCCTTTATAAATATAGATTGTAAGTACTGTACGTAGGTGGAGAAAGGGAGGGTTGGAGGTTTTATGAGTATTTCATAATTTTGTTTCATGTGATAGCAGGATTTGTACTGTACATAAACAAATATTTCATAATATTTGTATTGTGTGATATTCCTGACAGAACTGTTGATAGCTTCCTCGAATGTCTGTAATTGAAAGCTACCTAGCTTGTTTTAAATATCATCTTTCACTTTCTATTATTACATATTTGCCTATTATAGGATGAGGTTAGTCTGTTGACCTCCTTTTCCTCTAACACACTTCATATATTATAATGCAGTCTCTGTCTATTTTATCTTCTTTTTATTATCTTTAGCCCATTTATGTCTTATACAATTATGTACTTTTTAAAGGGAAGTTTTACTTTTTCCTTCCCAATTTTTTTTGTCCTATTATCTTACTATAAATATGTAGCTCCTTATCTTCATTTATTTCCATGTTCAATATGTTTAACATGTTCTTATTGTGTTGCAGCAAAAGTTAATGCAGCATACAAAGACTCACAGTCCAAGTTACAAACGAAACTATAAATCGAACAAGCCACGCAAACCTCGTAAAGATAAAGGAGTCTTGCGTCGAGATCTTGCTCGCCTTCTGTCTAACTACTGTAGTGATGAAGAATGTATGGATATAAACGATTTAGATGCCAGTCAAAATGAAACGCCAATAAAATCTCGGTGTCTTGACAATCTTGATCCTAGAGAAGAAATTATGTCTCCTGTCACAAAAGAAATGAATAATGCTTCTGAATGCCAAACAGGTATTGAAGCCAATAAAACACATGAACTGTCTAAATGTCAATGAATGCGAGTTAAATTGTATTTACAGTATTTTCATATTATCTATTTACTGCATTCTGTGTAGCTGTTTGGTGTGTGGATCAGTGTTTATAGTCTTATAGCATTATTAACTCCTTTAGTGCAAAATTTCAAGAAATGTGTCAAATCTATCTTCTTACATTATACAAAGTATTTTTAGTTCCTGAAAATAATACAAGAATGTGCTATAATCATAGTGGTGACAGTTCTTAGAAATCATTGTTGCCTCTTCCTCTTACTTTTGCTTTTGTGTCACAGAGCAGCTTACATCCTGGTAGATTTGAAAGTTTATATTTGTAATCCTTTGCTACGAGTACCTCAATTGTAGCCATTCCTGTTGACCTTGAAAAGCTTTGACACTACCTGGAGATATTTTTGTAAGCATGCATATTGGCTATGCATGCTTAACTCATGAGTACTTAATGGAAAGATGACCTGTGCCTTATTGTCAGAACTGTTGTCCCTCTTAATTATGCTCTTCCTAGTGGAATGTCCTGATTTTCAAGATCAGAAATTTTACTTTCTTAATGTCCTTAGAAGTCGCTATTTTCACCATAAGGTCCTTGGTGATTTCAACACTTATGCCATCACTTACCTTGTGTTTTTTTCCTCTCGCATTGGCATTTCAAATGATATTTAAGACATTTGAGCTGTTCTGCAACACAGATAGGACTAAATAGTCTTCCAGGTTATGGGCCTTATTTTGACACTTGGTTTACTCACAGCATTTAACAATAATTTAATAATACCAGCTCTAAACAGGCTTGTTACACTAGAGCTCCTCAATTCACCTGTCTCAAGAATGCTGTACGAGACTAGTCTTATTTATACACCGGCTCCACTAACTCTACACAAATATTTGATCAATACGCCATCAACAATGGAATCTACCGTGTATATCTCTGCTTTTTTCATATATTTACCCTATTTTTGTTAAGTCATTTCAAGGTTTTTAAGAAGTGTTACTGGTTATACCATGGATTGATAAAACTCCACTCAAGAAAGAGCTGTATAATACACTAAGCCATATCACAGCATTCAATGAAGATGAATATACTTAGATTATTTTATCCTAATACATTTAACAAATATTGAAAACACTGTTCATGCATTTTTTAACTTTTTTAGAATATATTAAAATTGTATAATTTCATCTGGTAAACATGCCGATAACTAATATTTACATTATATTTCCTTTGATTATATTTTAGATATTGATGCTATAATTTAAAATTTATTTAATGTTTAAATTTTTGTCAGATTCATAAAATAGATCATTTATCACTAGAGACAATAAGACCTAATTGATTCAAATAACAATACATTGTTACCATGTACAGTAAACTCTAGGTATACAATTGTCTACAAATTTGAATTTGTATAATTTTTATAATTTAAGCAAAACATTTAAGTATTTTATTGTGGGATATAAGACAAATGTGTAAATATATGTATAAAGTAGTTGAAATAAAGGTTGAATGTTTATAAAAAGTTAACTTGTGTTTTTTTAGTCATTGCATTCAGTTGCCCCCTAACCCATGTTCTGCATGCAGGTGTCTGCTGTAGTGCATGCAGGTGTCTGCTGTAGTGCATGCAGGTATCTGCTGTAGTGCATGCAGGTGTCTGCTGTAGAGCATGCAGGTGTCTGCTGTAGAGCATGCAGGTGTCTGCTGTAGAGCATGCAGGTGTCTGCTGTAGAGCATGCAGGTGTCTGCTGTAGAGCATGCAGGTGTCTGCTGTAGAGCATGCAGGTGTCTGCTGTAGAGCATGCAGGTGTCTGCTGTAGAGCATGCAGGTGTCTGCTGTAGAGCATGCAGGTGTCTGCTGTAGTGCATGCAGGTATCTGCTGTAGTGCATGCAGGTGTCTGCTGTAGAGCATGCAGGTGTCTGCTGTAGAGCATGCAGGTGTCTGCTGTAGAGCATGCAGGTGTCTGCTGTAGAGCATGCAGGTGTCTGCTGTAGAGCATGCAGGTGTCTGCTGTAGAGCATGCAGGTGTCTGCTGTAGAGCAGGCAGGTATCTACTGTAGAGCAGGCAGGTGTCTGCTGTAGAGCATGCAGGTGTCTGTTGTAGAGCATGCAGGAGTCTGCCGTAGAGCATGCTGAGCAGACGAGGTCAGCCAAGTCATTAAAGATGCCTGGAGCGAGGCAGGTAGGGAAGGTTTGTAGGCTCAAAAGTGGTGTCACTCGCCAGGAGGCAGGCCTTATGGACTCATTACCAGAGTGACTGGTAACGACATAGGTCTGGACTGAAGGTCATTATTCACTGTTCTACCCTTGAATAATGTATAGGTTGAACAGTTTTTAAATATATTTGGGAGTGAGTTCCATTTATTAGGCCCTTTTTGTTTACATGGCATGTTTGCATAGGTTTAGTCTAACTCTGGGAATATCAAAGTATATTTATTTCTAGTGTGATGCTCATGGGTTCTGTTACATTTATCTAGGAAGATTTTCAAAGGCAGGATTAGAATTCGGAACAAGGTTCTTTAAGTATACAGTAAATTGAACAAGAACGTGTGGAGTGTATCTTTAGCATGTTTAGGGATTTAAACTGCCAACACACTTGGCTGTGTGTAGCCTGAAGATGAATGTTAGAGACATTCGGCAAGTCACTTATATATTTGAGAAATAGGAGAGGTCCTAAGATGCTGCTTTGTGGCACTCCTATAGTTAATGATAGACTGGGAGAGGTTTACCGCTGATGACTATTTATTAGTGTAAGTTGAAAATCAGATCAATGCCTTCTCTACAAAAAAGGATCAATGATCCCTTTTTGTAGGGAAGATGCATAAAGGTTTTGAGCCTAATGGTTCCAAGTGGGGTGCTCCTTATACAACATTGGGCCTTTCCCATTGGGTTAAATCTGGCTCTTTAGATGCTCATCAGAATCGCTAGGGTGGTTCTTCTCAATTGGCAGTACTGCATTTGCTGGCCAGGTGTTGTGCATGGACAGTGTTGGGCAAGTTTGGGTTTCCCATCAACTCTTTACAAGTCCCAGCTTCAAATTTTTCCATTGGCACTGAGAAACCGTTGGGTCGGTTCTATGCTTGTATTATTCACTCCATCTTTTGTTTGTTTGCGTTCCTAAGATTGCTCTTTCCCTTGCAAAAATAGCAATTAATAAAGATTGTTTTTACTATTTGCTTTGGGGTATTAGACTACCTAATAATCTGCAGCATTAGACATTCTCTGACATCACTTTCTTAATGTCCAGCTGTGAAACCCCAGAATTAGACTGGCTGATAAGGCATTAAAAGGCCTTAAATCCTCTTTAAACTGATATAATCAATTAATCACATTTTGGTTAGTAAATTGAAAGCAAAACTTGGAATTCTTATCCATCGAGTGAAAAGGCACGGTTTATATAATCAAAGGTATTCTCATCAACGTCGTGTCCGGGTGAAGGAGCTCTGGAGGACACCACGCCGACAGTGACTCGAGGAGGGTTCAAGGAGTCCCCACCAGCAGCAGCACCGTCTGCAGCTGGTCTTCTTCCACCTTGTGATGAGGAGACCAACACAGGAGAAACACCATCGTTCTGGCTACCAGACTGTTGATACATAGGACAATTGGTATAAGCAGTTGTAAATATTGGTGTTAAAATTTGGTGTTTGGCCTTATATATACAATTATATGACAATATATGTACAGTATGATCCTTGTCCACTTTGCATTTTTGTCACCTATCATTTAACCACTTTTTATATACACACCTAAACATTAAACATCTAAATTTAGCCAAAAGACACTTTGGTGTTTACTTCGTGTACCCATTATGATCCTTTGTAATCTTTTCCAATATTGCCCAATCTGTACGGATGTGCTTAATAAATGAACTGAACATGGAACCACGGCTTAGCAGGCTCCCTTTAGCACAAGACGCATTCAATTTATATTATAGTACCCTCACAGATCATGTTGACCAGTATTGTACTGATGGCTGCAACAGCCACCCGCGTGCTGGTGACTGCATCACAATAGTCATCTATGACAAAAATAAACCTACCGACATGTTTCAAGTTACGTGTGCCTCCGCCTATGGCCTCGCCACATAGTGCCTCCGCCTATGGCCTCGCCACATAGTGCCTCAGCCTATGGCCTTGCCACATAGTGCCTCAGCCTATGGCCTCGCCACATAGTGCCTCAGCCTATGGTCTCGCCACATAGTGCCTCCGCCTATGGCCTTGCCACATAGTGCCTCAGCCTATGGCCTTGCCACATAGTGCCTCAGCCTATGGCCTTGCCACATAGTGCCTCAGCCTATGGCCTTGCCACATAGTGCCTCAGCCTATGGCCTTGCCACATAGTGCCTCAGCCTATGGCCTCGCCACATAGTGCCTCAGCCTATGGTCTCGCCACATAGTGCCTCAGCCTATGGCCTCGCCACACGTGCCTCAGCCTATGGCCTCGCCACACGTGCCTCAGCCTATGGCCTTGCCATACAGTGCCTCAGCCTATGGCCTCGCCATACAGTGCCTCAGCTTATGGCCTCGCCACACGTGCCTCAGCCTATGGCCTTGCCATACAGTGCCTCAGCCTATGGCCTCGCCATACAGTGCCTCAGCCTATGGCCTCGCCATACAGTGCCTCAGCCTATGGCCTCGCCACATGGCGCCTCAGCCTATGGCCTCACCATAGTGCCTCAGCCTATGGCCTCGCCACATGGCGCCTCAGCCTATGGCCTCGCCATACAGTGCCTCAGCTTATGGCCTCGCCACACGTGCCTCAGCCTATGGCCTCGCCACATGGCGCCTCAGCCTATGGCCTCGCCATAGTGCCTCAGCCTATGGCCTCGCCACATAGTGCCTCAGCCTATGGCCTTGCCACATAGTGCCTCAGCCTATGGCCTCGCCACATGGCGCCTCAGCCTATGGCCTCGCCACATAGTGCCTCAGCCTATGGCCTCGCCACATAGTGCCTCAGCCTATGGCCTCGCCACATGGTGCCTCAGCCTATGGCCTCGCCACATGGTGCCTCAGCCTATGGCTTCGCCACATGGTGGCTCAGCCTATGGCCTCCTCACATAGTGCCTCAGCCTATGGCCTCGCCACATCTCACACTTACCCTTCATAAGTAATAAACCCTTCATAAGTAATAAAGGTTAAACTCTATTACCGTTAAATGCAATAAAGCTCTAATAAGCCTCATCCCTTATAAAATAAACTCAGCAGGAATATAAGCAATAATTATGGTATTTATATTTTGACGTTACATATATCCCGTATTTTCTCATATTCCTCGTAATACAATCACCGAATCATGAATTATACGTATAAATGCACTGTATATTATTGTAATACATATTACTATTATTGCGTAAACTCTTGTTCGTTTTCAATGGGTATTAAATTTTATCAACGGGAGTTATATAATCTCTTGGTACAACCCTTTTACAAGTAAATTTCAAACAATTTTTCTCAAAAAACAGCTAAACTTAGCCAAATTCTAATATATATTTGTTGAAATCGCTCAAAGGTATACGAAGACTGGCTACCTAATCGCCTTGTTTAGGTAGCCAGTCTAAATACCTTAAGAGGTTACCGTACAAATGAATCTCACTTGGAATTTTGCCAGCGTGAAGCTGTTAGGAAAACGCTTGTTGAAGGTGTACTGGCGTTCCAGGAGCACCAAGAGGAGCAGCACCAGCAGGAGGATCACCACCCCTGTCAGGATCCACACCCAAGCCCGCCACGTTGGGACGCTCGAAGCTATCCCGAACTCAGCAGCAAAAGATGCTGCCAAATAATCTGTTTGGAAAATAATGTATATATAATATTTCACGAGATAAATCACCAGGGAGAAGCAAACACACCGATGTGTCGCTATATAATTATATATGGAATATTAAAATGCAAATATTTTCTCATCATATAAATAAACAGTTGCCTTAGTATCCTTCCCTTTTAAGGCTACCGAAGTAGTAGCCTTCGAAATGTCTCCCATTTCGGAGGTCTGGTTAGGTTCGAGGTTCCTAGTGCCCAAGGTGAATGAAATTATATATATGCAGGCTTAACATTTTGAAATTATCCATGGAAACTGTTCCAGTGTGAAAATAGACTTCTGGTACATTGGCCAACTGCTCTGACCACCATTCTACCTTACATGCATGTGACTCAGCGAGAGATCACTCACCTTGACGGCAGTTAACAGTGTACTGGATGGATATATTAGACGTTAAGAGTCTGATTCTGAGTGACGTGACCCCTGTCCTTTCTAGCCTGACACTGGCGGCGAGAGGCTTCATGCTGACTGGCTGCCAGGTCAAGCTACGCGCGCTCTCCATGGTCTCCTCGGGGATAACAGCCAGCTGAAGGAGGTGCTGGTAATGGACGCGTACATACACCGCCGTCCACACCAGCGGCAGTAATATCGGCGGCCATGATACCTGCCAATATTTAACACTTTCGACTAATAAAAACAAAATAAGACGAACTGACAATTTAAAGACAAAGTTAGTTCATGTATTATGCACCCCATTCCCATCTTGTGGGCGGTGATTGGAAAGGGTTACAGAGGCACATAATGGGCTCAGGGACTGAACCCCACAATTCATTTAGCTAAGCAAGTTACAATCTTGATGAGCTAAAATTCAATACAAGTCGTCACATCAACAAGGAAAAAATACTGAAAATTTCAATTGGTACAGGATTGGTGAAAAGTTTTCACCAATCCTGTACCGTTGAACAGTGTAGCTTGTGACATATATAGACGTTGATATTTTGAATAGGGGGGTGAACGGGTATTTCTCAAAATCAAATCAACATTTTTACATATGTGTTTTTTGGATAGCTAGGTCTAGGTTGGGTGACTTGCTTGTGGACCATTTAGGCAACCCGTCCTCAAGCTCGTCCAGCTGCGGCCGACCCCAAAGGCGCATTCCAAGTGGTTTAATCTTATTTTTCGTTTAATGTATTGAAAATCGGTGTAATCTTCCAGCTGTTCTCAAACAAAGCTCGTTAAAGCAGTGGCCGCTCCCCAAGACGCATTCATTAATTTTAACATATTGTGTATTAAAATAGGATTGTTCTCATATATAAATTAATATTATATATTAAAGTTAAGTGTGTAATTAGGCGTACGTTAGGTTAGGTGTTTAGGTTCTGTTGGCGATTATTTGTATACGAAGTCCGTGGGCAACCCGTCCTCGACTCGAGTCCATTACATCCAGCGGTCGATCCCACAGACGCATTCATAAATTTTTATATGCTGTTCATTCAAACCGGGGATTTTCTCAAATATAAATTAATATTATAATATATTAGCATATATAGGCATAGGTTAGGTTGGGTTAGGTGTTTAGGTTCTGTTGTATTTGTAGTACGTGGGTGAAGGATTTACAGCGTTGTGGTTCGAACAAAATTCGTCAGTGAAGCACTTGTTCCGGAAGTGTTCGAACGTCATCAGTTGTGAGTCGTGTGTAAAACGTTTTTCATTCATAAACAGGGGGTTTGCTGAGTGCATGGAATGGATTTTGGGTCCTTGTTTGGAGGACGGACTGTGTGCAGCCCGTCCTCAGGTTGTATAATATAAATTTATATTATTTTATATTTGAGTCTGTATAGTGCTTTAATATTGACAAATACATCTGGGAGTCGGGTGCTGCTTGTACGAAGCGTTAGCCTGAGGATGGATTGCTGTAGTGATGGTCCACATTGTATATTTACACAAGGAACAAGATTTTGGTGGTTAGAATGTTGTATGAACAATAATAATGCATAAATACATAAAGTTCAAGAGGGGCAAATTACCTTGAAGTTGATTGAACTAGTACGAATGTCCTTCAAAGTGACCTCTACGTCACCCCACTGCTTGCCCATGTTAGCGTCCAGCCCAAGGCAGTATAGCTGCTCCTCTTCCGTTGTCTCCAGCTGAATCTCTAGCCTCAGAACCTTTACATAGTTCTCAGGTCGCAGCCGGATTGTGGCAGATTCTTCCAATGTTAATGGAGGAGTCGCGTCATTTCGTGACTTCAAATAGCCAGAATTACAGTCTGAAACTGCAAAATTGTTTTATGGCTAAGGTCTCCGGCCTATGATGAGATTCTCCTCACCCTCCCTCCTGACTGCATATCCGGTCTTCACACTCTCCTGAAAACGACCTCTCACATTTCCTCCAGATGACAGACGTCCTCACACTCCCTCTAAACGATGATCAGGCTTTCCTCTCCCCTCCCCCCCCTCTCTCTCTCTCTCTCTCTCTTTCTCTGTCTCTCTCTCTCTCGACAACTGACCAGATTTTCTCACTTTCTCCAGATGACAGACCAGCTCTAACACTACCTTTTGACGACAATTAGGTCTTCACACCCCCCTCCTTCTTGACGATATCAATTATAGTAGAATAAGTACAAACAAGAGCAGCAGCAGACAGGGAATAAAGTCTAATCCAAACAAAAATAAAGAATGGTTACTAGCAATGGTTACAAAGAATATATTGCGACACAATGCCAGCGGCGGCCTGCTGTCCTCTACAAGTGGCACAGGCTCGAACTGCTGATTGACAAGATGATTTATCAATATTTTTCCTTATAAATTTAATATTTACACTGATTGTAAATTGCTTATGTAAAGCGAGAATACTGGGTTGTGTTACTGACAGGCAAGTTGTAATTTGCCCAACGAGCGAGTTTTAAAATACATACGACTCAATGATGTTTTACTGGTGATAAATCTTACCTTGTGCTAGGGTGCTGGTGCAGGTTTGAGCCAGAATCCACACTCCTACTGCCCACCTCACCCACACCATCCTTGCCTCGGGTTCACGCACTAATTCCAAGTGCTAATTAAACTTGTTTCAATACAATAGTCAATGACAACTTTTCTTGCTTACTCCCTCTGTCAACTTTAATAACGTTAGGAGGCATCTGTTAGCAATGGTCTTGTCACGAAAGCACACATGTACAATGTCTTCCCTTCACTACATGCTGGTAAGTGGAATGAGTGAAGTGTATGTTACTTGGTGGTGTCTGTACTCATAATTACGAGATAACACTTTAACGCAGGAAACACTAGGCATCACCACACAGGATGTAACATATCTTGTTTGTTTCTATACATAATAAAAAAAGTGTTTTGTTTTAATATGTAAAGAAATTGTGTTTTAAAAGTCTTCTGTGCGTCGTCGTACAACCATTCAGAATAACAGATGTGTTTTGTATCTTCGTGAATCGGCAAAATTCGGCTTCGACTTTTATGTCCGTGGAATGTTTTCAGACTTATACAACAATATTGTTTTGTTTCTCAGAAAAAAAGTGGCTTTGCAAGTATGTAAGACCTCCAATTTTATGTACTCTTACAACCCAATGTACTTTCTTGAATATACATAAATAAATAAATAAATATGAGAAGAAAGTAAGTTCCAGCGAGGCCACAACATGTACAGTGTTAAGAACAGTACAAAGCGTCCCCAAGACATTATGACATTGTAATTGTCAGAATTAGGCTACGCTCTCCTTCCGAATTTCCCCACCACTAAGCACTTAGCTGTAAACTAAAAAGAGCCAAAATACACACACTTTTATTTTTTTTTCAACAGTGAATGGCCAAATTATCAATAATTTCAGGCTATATGGAGTGAAATGCCTGGAGCATTCTGTATAATTTACTCAAAAATATTAGAAAATATTCCTATAATCTATCCGAAGTTTACTTGTGTGGGGCTAGTGAACTCCACTCGCATCCCATGTACTGGGAGACTGCACAGTACTGTGTATTTAAACTTACTGATGAAAGAAACTGCTGGTTGTAACACAAGAACTGTGTGTGTGTGTGTGTATACCCCTTTCATCCGCCTCTTCTGGGGTATCACTAGAGTCTAATGGTATTAGGTAATCCACGTGCCAATTGAGGTTGAAAGTCCCAGCTGAATACCAGTTGTGTATCTCTGGGACCTTCTCTTATTGTGGGTACTCGAAGTTAGGTCGGAAGAGCTGAGTTCTGACTCGTTGGTTGTGAGTTCGAGGCTCCCATGGTTGAAGTAAATGTAATGTTATTTCCTTGTCAATTGTGGTTTGTAATTTATATGAATACATGCTGACTTGAAAGGCTTGAGATATATGAAATATTTTATCGGGTAACAGAATATACGTGGAGTCGCTGGATCGTTTTCAAGCTGTGATTAAAGAAATATATGATGAAAGGGCTTGGCTAGGTAGAAAATAGGAGCTTCCTTGCATAGGCCATTCTTGCGTTTTTATTATCCTTCATCCCTTTTTTTTTCTACCTCAATATATCTGCCTTTTATCCACCCACTCTTTTCTCCCTCTCTCTCTCTCTCTCCCTTTCATCCCCTCTCCCTCTTCTCTCCGTGTGCTCACGGCCAAGTCCTGCCTCAGTAATAGCCTCAACCTGCTCGCTATTCCCGTGCCTTCATCACCAACTCACTCTCAAAATCTAATTTGGTAACAACCTTACGCGTCTCCACAATTGAGGTGGACCAGGGCCAAAAGAGTGCCAACCTCCACCAGCCGAAAGGCTCGAAAATTCCTATCGGTGTTCGTGGCTGATTGATCTTCGAGGACAGCAGCCTCGTGTGGCCCCTGTGCACCCACTTTTATACAGTGAGCGCGGTGTTTCTCTTTAACTCTTTCGCTCCGGTTAAATTGCGTCCACAGGTGTATGGCAGGAATAATGCTCTGCGGTGCAGCTAGTGCTTGTGCTCTGCGGCCGGGTGAGCCCTCGTGCTCTTCAGTGTAAGGGGTCTGTGTGCTCTACAGCGAGGCTAGTCCCATTGCTCTGTTTTTATTTTGCAGGGAAGAGCGCCAGCTCCTGCCCCACCTTCCGAAAATTTTGTGGTTTGATGTCATAACTCTTAGATGTTTGTGTGGGAGGATTTAGAGCATAGGTTCGTATCCTCATCATGACTCCTATTGGTTTTCTCATTGATACATTAACGTGATTTCTTTGTGCATTTAAAACTGTGGTATTCCCCGGTAATATTTCACTATATACACACGTTCACGATGGGTTGGGGTGGGGGAGGGTGGGGGGTCATACAAGGTCACGAGACAGGTCATGTCAGGTTAGGTCATTCTCGAAACAAACTAATGGCCTACGCTTGTTACTTAGCATCCTGCAGCCTGTTCCGTAAATCTGTAACCCTATTTCCAAACAATTATTTACCCGCTCGTTCTGGGTGAAAACTTTTCAAATTTTGACTTGTTTCGCCTTGTGTTTTGCGTGTGTATATATATATATATATATATATATATATATATATATATATATATATATATATATATATATATATATATTCTCCGCTTTACTATAATATAAAAATCTTAGTCTGTGTTCTTAGAGTCGTATTCTTAGAATCTGTTCTTAGTCTTTCTAAGCCTGTGCTCACGATACCCAGGTGTACATACAATAGCTATCCTCTGCCCAGGGGATTTATGTCATGATATGTGTACGGTGCCTTAAACTGACCTAAAGAATCTTATATGGGGCCAAAGAAGGGCAAAAAAAAGTTAAAGGAAATTTTAAGGAAGGCGAAAGAACATACTTTACCTTTGAAGAAGGAAAAGAGAGAGAATGAGAGAGAGAGAGAGAGAGAGAGAGAGAGAGAGAGAGAGAGAGAGAGAGAGAGAGAGAGAGAGAGAGAGAGAGAGAGAGAGAGAGAGAGAGAGAGAGAGAGAGAGAGAGAGTGAGTGTATGTGTGTACTCACCTAATTGTGCTTGCGGGGGTTGAGCTCTGGCTCTTTGGTCCCGCCTCTCAACCGTCAATCAACATGTGTGTGTGTGTGTGTGTGTGTGTGTGTGTGTGTGTGTGTGTGTGTGTGTGTGTGTGTGTGTGTGTGTGTGTGTGTGTGTGTGTGTGTGTGTGAGTGTGTGACACACCCACCTCCGGCTGTGAGCGTGGAGTCGAGCCATATTCTACATGTTGACGATAAATGTCTTCATCAGTTAGAAATTAGATATGCGAAAGTTTAGCCCCCGAGTTGAACGAGTTTAGGGAAAACTTTCATGGAAGTGAAAACAGACTCCCATCTCGGGATGGCCTGAGACCATTTTTTTTTTAATATTTTCTCAAGGAAGGGAAGTGATGTGGGTTCGCTAGTTTGCGAACATTTTTGCGACCCGCCTCCCTAATCAGCAAGATTTTAATATCATTACTTAGCGATGTTTTGGTCGGTTACTCTTTTATACAAAGATGCTCACCGCCTCACCCTCAAATTTCCTTGTTATAGACTGCTTCCCATGTTCTAGTTTAGATTACATATGATGTAGCAAACCTGTTCTCAAAATGGGTTCAATGGATTAACACTGTGCGATTTTCAGGGTGGCATGAATAAAAAATATATATATTTTAAAATTAACTGGAAAATAAAACAAACGTCTTAGCTTCTTTTTTTTTAATTTTCACAATGCTTTCTTGACGTAGAAGGGCAGAATTTGTAATGGGGAATTAACCCACTTGTGTGTTATGTTGACCTAGTTCACCGGAAACGGTATAAAAAGAGTTCAAAGGCTTTTTTTTTTCAAAAGTTCAAAAGAGTTTAAGTAATCTAACACTCAGGGCGTCTTCAAGGGCACGACCAGTTGAGGAGTTTAGCACGACATAATGAGGCTCTGTGACACGAAGATTTCAAAAACTTCATTCATAGTTGAAGATTTATCATTTATTTAGCTAACAAAATATCAACTACATTAGTAATTTATACAAGAAAACAAACATTGGACACTTACAGTTAACATGGTTTACAAACTTTCAACCACACTATATACACTATAGATCTATAAAAAACTCACGATGATAACAGCCTAATACTGATCAGTATACAGTATTTCTCACTGCAGGTTCTTCGTATGAGTTGTATTTTAATATGACTGTACACGAGACTTCTCTGCATCAAAAAACATAAAATCATTGTGTCCTAATTAAATAGCAGTGTAAGATAACCCCAAATACCATCCAGCAAAAAATCGTCTCACGTTCTGGGAACATTGGAGCCAAGATTTACTAAATGAACACTTTCCTATGTTGGAACGTTACCTATTAAACTGCGTAATCTTACCGAAGAATCTGAAGTAATGAATCCTTAGCCGAGTCGGTCGATCTCAACTCCTTGAGATAGATATATGGACTGACTGACGGAAAAGAAAAACTACTATTATCCTGCTAAACCAACGTGACACAAGTTTGATAGTGGCTATCAGTGTAATTATAATGTGTCCAAATTTAATGTAATTACTGATGTAAACATTCAAGCTGAGATCTGATTATGACCTTGGTGCCTCCTGTGCCCTTTTGAGTACATGATGAGTATGGGGTGCATAATAAACTGGGCGGCAACAAAGGGAGTAAACACAATTATTGTCGCCATTGTCTTCATCTTTTTGCTTTTATCAGAACTATTATCATCATCATCATCACCAACACCGCCATTAGTATCACCAACACAACACCCACCAACACAGCACCCACCAACACAACACCCACCAACACAACACTCACCAACACAACACACACCAACACAACACCCACCAACACAACACTCACCAACACAACACCCACCAACACAACACTCACCAACACAACACAACACCAACACAACACAACACCAACACAACACAACACCCACCAACACAACACAACACAACACAACACAACACTCACCAACACAACACCCACCAACACAACACAACACTCACCAACACAACACAACACCAACACAACACAACACTCACCAACACAACACCCACCAACACAACACAACACTCACCAACACAACACACAACACACCACACACAACACACACTCACCAACACAACACAACACTCACCAACACAACACTCACCAACACAACACAACACCCACCAACACAACACAACACCAACACAACACCCACCAACTCAACACAACACCCACCAACACAACACAACACCAACACAACAAACACTCACCAACACAACACTCACCAACACAACAAACACTCACCAACACAACAAACACTCACCAACACAACAAACACTCACCAACACAACAAACACTCAC